CATCATATGCAATTGTAATAAAATTATTTTAATTATTTAATTTGTAATCATTATATACAATTACCCACTCTTATTTTGCCACTCTACAATGTGTAATGAATTGAGAAATTTTATGTGAAAAATTGTTTGACTAAAATGAAAAGTCGCTTTCCCATCACAGCGCCGCAGTTTCTCTCTAGAGCAAATTGTCTGGTATAATATGTATACTATGTGTGGCACACAGGGTAGTTAAATGTGAGCTTTTGCGCAGAACTTCTTCGTGCTGTGATTGGGACTTATCAAAATTTTCGGCATACAGCGATGCCGAGGGTTCGATGGCGATGAAAATGCCAATTGTGACGATTTGCTGGCTCTTGATTGGTCGCAGTGTCTATCAAATAGCTGGCATTGGTGCGCGTTATGTCGGTATTTTCCACGATCACAAGAGTCTCTCCCCCTCTTGACTCAATTCCTCTTCTTCTCCTTCATTTTCATTCGATATCATGGACAGTTGCAGCCGCGATTCTTCAATTCCCCGGCTCTCTGCCTCTTAATATCTTCTTCTTTCCATCAACCCGTGCACTCTTGACTTTATATCGCGCGCGCGGCTCCCTTATCGCCATCTCACTCGCCAATGTTCCCCTTTCTCCCTCTCTCTCTCTCTCACTCTACACATTCATCGGGGGGATATGCTTATAAAAATTGTACACACCGCAGAGGCGATATATGAAATTCACTGTACATTTTATATTATATGCTGGGAAGTGAGACGAGGAGAGACTTCACCACATATGAAAATTGTGTGTACTCTTTCAATAAACCACGCCCCGAATATGCCCGTGTAATAAAATAATCGTAAAACGCGCGCAATGAACATTTTCTCTCTTGCCATCCATATAACATTGCCAAGTGCACACACAACACAGAGACTCTGGCTCAACTACAAAGCAAAATTCGCAAGAACAATTTTCATATTTAATTATCATTATATGCGACCTGGCTGAATTCTTACACCACATATATATAGATGTACGTATTTTCGTCTCACAGCGCCGGTTCTTCACACCACAATCGCCATCACACTGGCCATAGTCATTCATCCTTATTAATTTTCATCAATTTCCATTTCGCAAAATCCCCGCATTTGACCAATTCCCACATTTTCCACAATGAAAATACATGCTGGCACATTTCACATCACACTGATTAACTAGTCTGATTTGCTTGTCCCACAAACACCCTCGAGAAAGTGTCAACTTATCAGCCAATACCCATCAAAAATCACTCTGGAAACATCCATAAAACACCCGCATCGTGATTTAATTTTTTCGCACTCACATTCTCATACAAATTCACACTTATATTTCCGAAGAAAACAGCTCTAAGAGGGTAGAAAATGTGAGAATATTCTCAAGTGGTACAGCACACAATGTGCGAACCACGCTGTCTCTACCAAAAGTTCGATATGTTATTGAGAACTCTTTAAATCAACAATTAAATTGTTAAAGTGTCTTTTACTGGATTTTGAAATGACACAAATGACGACTGAAATTCTGCAGTAAAATGTACAAATGACCAGAAATAAAAGGATCTAATTTGCATCTAAGCGACAGCCGACGGACATTGAATTTAAACCCAATCTCTTGTCTTGGTTTGAAATCACAAAGCACGTGACAATGAGCAACTAGACTAGCACACTGTGTGCGTTGTTCAATTCAAAAATCCATTCGATTTTTCTTGACCACCCAACACGCTTTAACCACACAATCGACTAAGAGATGTGACGCCATGCAGAGGAAAAAAATCTAATTATTTAAAATTTAATTTGAGTTCTTTACCATGGAGAAGAGACGAAAAAAAAACATTTATTAATTCATTTTCAATTTACACATTATACGATTGTGTTTCTTTGTTAGGAGAGCACTCTAAATTGAATTAAAAGTGAAAAAATTAATTGCTCAGACACGATATTAATATTTCTTTTGCCGTATTCTCGGCTATTTTTGAGAAATAAAAGCATAATTTCGTGAAATAGTGAGGCAGTCGAAGGCGAAAAAAAATGTGGACTTTTGATGGAAATTTACGGAAATTAACTCAATGTGTTAATCAATTTTAACTGTGAAACGATGAATTTCATCTCTCGACATTCCGTCTCAAGAGACAACGCCGTAATTTTCGCCCGAGACTCACATGAAAATTGCACACAAATTATTTCGGCATGAATTTTATAATGGTAATTCCTCGAAATGCACCCTGTCTCATTATCCCCTGGCCTTCTGAGATACAATCACTTGAATTGAGAGTTCATCAGCCCCTAACCCTGTCTAGCCATGCTGAATTTCTTACCTCCACAAGCGCTGAGGTATGATTTACATTTGGGCTTTTCCCAAAAATGGTCTTCTCTGGGTAAATAACATGAGAATATAACAGACATATATGCCAGTAAATCATAGTTGCATTTCACCGAAGATTGTGAGGAAAAAAGATTCACCAAGCTTTCTCTGCATTTTTATATCTTTATGATTGTTGTGTCTCTTTTCGGAATCTTCCTAAGGTAAAAATATTTCATTTCGCAAAGCAAACACTATTCAAAATTCCCGAGAATTTTGAGGGGAAGAATTTCACCCACAGAGAACCTTTAAAATCTCTTTTTTGCCCCGATTTTATGGAAATGCATGCATATTTATAACTAACAGGTAAACTATTTCATCCCTTCGAATTTACTCAGGTAAACCACCCTTCTCAATAGTACCACAAAATTTTCTTCTTGAATATTCTCAATAACAACCAAGAACGGCATATTTAATGCGATTTATCCCCAAATGAGAACTAAAACCTTCCGGAAAGTTGCAAATGAAGCAATTTCTTTTTTCTACAGTGCTTTTGCAATCATGAGAAATTACTGAATATCTTACAGCATTGAGTGTTATCGGCGAAATGTAAAGAAATTGATATTTAAGAGATTTACTGCAAACCAGGTAAAATTGAAGGCACGAGGATGGCGTTCAACAGCTAAACTGTGGCAGCTTGAACTCTTCTGTGGCCAATATAATTAAAGAGATTGTGCAAAAAGAGCCACAATATGAACACCTGAACTTTTCGACGGTGGCAGAAGAAGTGCAAAAAACGGACGAACATGATCCATATGAGATCTTCAACATCTCCTTTGCCTCATTCAATGACTTTCTTCATTTCTCTGGCCATTGTTGAGAAACTTCTTTTTATTTGCACATCTTTTCAGCCCTTCCCGCACTCGATGTTTCCGCTGTCCCGGATGGAAAAACAGCAATGCCGACTGCATTGTAGGTCTGCTATCTGTCTGGGCTACTTCAGTGAGAACATGGAGAAAGCCCCGAATCGCTTCCCAGTGATCAGTATAGGAATTCCGCTTTGGTGCGGGACGCCCAGTGAATTTATTTTGACACATCGCACGCGCGCTTTGAATTGAACAAGTTCAACGAAAAAAACACGCCCGTGCTTCTTTCTTGTCTTCAGCCCCAAGAGTTTCGTCACACTTTTTGTTTTCTCACCAGCAAAACCCACCAAATACTGTCTGTCTCTCTCCATATTTCAGTATATATTGTATCAGAAATCACTTCAACTGTCTTGAACATCCTCGAAAAAAAATCCACGAGAGATCATTTACTAAATAACGGATGAAGGAGATCTTCAATGTGTGCAAAAAAAGCCCTACAAATTACTTCCACTTCATTGAAAAATCATTAAAATAACGATATTAGTTGAAGTGAAGAGATTATCTGGTAAAAAATGATGTATTTGATTGGGAGAAAACTCTCACTTGTGATGCGATAAAATCAGAGATAGAATTTCCTCCCTTCCATCATCGTGTCATATTGCATTGCAAAGGCAATATTTTACCAGTGCTTTCTTCCTTTAAGAAGAAAAAAAGAGTGTATATTTTTTACAAATGTACCAGCAGAATGAAAGTGTGAAAATCACCGTGAAACTGTAATATAAATATATTGAGAGATGATAGAAGAAAAAGGCTGACATTCAAAGTTGAGTAGAGAAACTCTTTGAGATTTTCCTCATTTCATATTTTAATAATAATACAGCCAGTATTGCTCAGAAGAAGCACACCATTGATGATGGTGAGAAAAAGAGGTTACATGTTTTGTACAGAAAACCCATTATAAATCATCAATCAAAGCATTTTTCCACCCACACCCTCGGGAGAAGGATGAAATTTTCCGCTGAAAGACGCTCAGATTTCAAATGTTGACGCATTTCTCATCTCACACTGTCAATATAGTTGCAATTTATTGGAGTTATCAATGTATTTTTCAATAGTCATTTCATGGTCTCTCGTAGACTTGTATTTGACAAAATATCGAGAGAAGAATAAATATTGCTCAAAAATTTTGCCTGCGAGGGAATAATTGTTGAGATAAGGTTCTCGATAACACTGACTCATGTGCGTAAATATTGTATTGCGTATTTATCGAGGAATTATTGGAAATTGTCAGAGAATATCTCAACAATTTTTCATACAACTGTACATAGAGACAATGTAATATTTAAATATCCAACAAATAGGCAGAGATAACGAAAATTTAATGACTCTCTGCTCATCCATGGACTCTTCTCTTCTCCGCATTTGCCCATATCGGCTGATCAAACAGAAAAGAGGGATACATTCTAGCCTTCAATGAATATTGCAAAATATCCCCAACACGGAACACATAAGATCTCCAATGGAAAAAAAAATAATTAACTCATGCATTGCTGAAATCATTTGGTGATATTTTCCTAATAATAAAAACACTCTCCCAGCGACTGTCCACATTAATTGAAATTTAAATGAACAATTGACCTTCACTCGAAAACTAATCACTGACGTCTTATTTCAGGTACACCACATTATCATAACACCCAACGTCTCTCCTCACCACAGCACAAATGACGAGATTCACACAGCATTTACAAATATATTAACTTTGGATGAAAAATAGATAATTCATGGGAAGAAGAAGAAGTAGAAAAGCTTCTTTTGTGCTTACCATTGGAGAATCGTCACCTAAATCTGAGTCTCTGTCGATCCGTCCGCCGTCCATAGCAACATAAACAGGGACGGGATCACGATTTTTCACGCGAATTTTGTTAAGTTTTGAGCGCGAGCCTCTCAACAGGGGCTCGCTTTACTTCCGTGACAGAAAAAATCCTTTTGAACGTTTAGTGATTTAGCGAGGAAGTGGTGAAAATCACTGAAAAAAAATACATCAAGAGAAAATAGATTAGAAATTTCATTACAAAGACTTTTAAAAAAAATATTTTCTATACACGGATTTTGGGGCGGGATTTCTCAAAAGTCACCGCACTAACTTGAGCGCCAGTGAATGAACTTGAAAATATGGTGAAGAGAGAGAAAAAAAAACTTGCCAATATTCTCAAATTAATTTCCAGTCCAAACTAGGGAAAACCCCACAAAACGGTAATTAATACTGTCTCTCTTGAACCCCAAAATGCCGACCGATGAAGACAATCGCCCATGAGGAAATGAATGGAGGTAACTTTTCGGCACACATTCACATTGAGTTTTCTCGGTGAGAAATCTCAAGTGCCGGAGAGTAGTGAACTCTGTATTGCGAGTGGTCAAGGGACCTCAATGAGCCACCTTTTCATGCCCAGCATGGCCATTTGGCGCACACATCCTCGCGCTTAGCAGGCGTCGAAGGAGCGAAAAGGACCTCTGCGTTTTCCTCGAAAATCACAACATGTCGATTGTCTTCTCTTCCGAACTGCAAAACTTGGACTTTAGTCACATGTTTTCTGCATCAAAGCATCAAGCTCGGAATTCAAATGCAGTTTGACAACTTTTATATCAATTTAATTGCTGATTTCATATGAAATGGAGGCTGATAAAGTATTTACCGATATCGTCAAACGGCTATCCAAGCGATCAACTTGATCTGGTCTGCACAAAAAGAGCTCAGTGAATTATATTTTATATAGAGTTTACAGTGATTTTCACATTAAACAATCTCCGCAAACTGTCACAAATGCTTCTGGGGTGATTAATAAGCACAATATTTCATATAACTTCTAAGTCACTAATCACCTTTTTCATGTGATTCACCTTGACCGTGAATATTTGCTCTCTCCCTCGCTCAAAAACAAAGTTAATTGTCTCAGAAAAGCCACACTGCTGAACCACATGCAATATTGCCTTATCTCCACTTGAGTCTTTTTTTTGACAATAAATTGTTCAATATTATTTTTTCAAGTCCTCCACCGCCTTCGACTCACAACATATAAAACAGTGTCTTATCTCTTTCGCTACATAAATGAAAGTAATTGATAAAATTAAAAAATGGCACTATACACTTTATCAACTTTCAAACAATCTAATAATTATTTCCTGTTCTTTTCCTCTTCTTTTTTTCTCTGTTTGTGGCAATGTCACAATTTCTGCATCGCTTTCTGCACAGATTCTCACAACTTCCAACTCATCGTCAGACCCACCAATTATGGGGATTGAGTGACAAATCCCTTTGCAAAGACTGATCAATACTATACAGATTTGCCGTTGAAACACTGCGATAAAAGTGCGATACGCTTACATCGACGTACACAACGCGAATGACTTCGGGCGCCTTCTTTGCATTCCCAAGTCTCTGTTGGATATGCTCAAGCGCGCGCTCTTCCTCGCCACACCAATGCTGTCTCACACTGTGACTTGGACTGGCTGTGTGTGAGAGTTTGCCGGGGTAACAGCATGACTGTGGGTACCCCACTCGAGAGCCTCTGAGCACACGGCTTCCGGATCCAATCGGAGCGTCAGGTCTCCGACCACGTTACCACCTCTGGGCGTTAACAAAATATGTTAATTAGTTTCATGTCAAAACTATTCTCTCGCACGAATAATAGCTGCAATATGGAATAAAATGATATGGAAAATCCCTCTCTGACCACGTCCAGACGCCAAATTCCCTCCGCGCCAGACACCATTAAGTCCTGCAGAGCCTTCCCCTGAAGAAATATATCCTCAAATCACTGTCTCGCGCCAGTATTTGTGCATGTGCGCTGCGTTGAAAATTGTAAAAACAAATAAAACATTTTACAAGTCACTAGCAGGGAAGTTTTCAAGTAATTCATTGAGCAAATTCAAATTGACTGCCATCGAGTAAACCACTTCCATGAATAGTTTATTGTATATATGTTTTAATAAAATACCTTCGTGTAACTCACGAATTATACGCTAAACTCCACAGAAAACCTTTGTGTTGAAAACTTATGATTTGCAAGAAGTTTTTGAACAAAATTTCGAGTTTGAAGAAAAATTTCAAATGTTCTTCTGAATTATTTTCTTGATTATTTTCCAAATAAAAAGAAGTGTTTCATAAAGTTGTTTAAAAACTTACAGAAATCGGCTTGAAAGTCTGCAAAATCGTCAATATAAAAGAAGAAACTTCCTGAAGGGATGAAATCCAGCATCCCTCCAGAGAAAAACTGGTTCAACTTGATATTTTGAATTCTAATTAGATATCGGAAAATCAATTGAAAAGCATCAAGAAAGGAACAATGGCAGAGAAGGGTCTAGAGAATATTAATTGACAAATATTTTCCTTCTCTTCCACAACGAGCAACTCCAAATCGTCAATCTCCTTGAAAATACTCTATTGACTCTTCGTCTCAGAGTCTTTCACACTTATTGTTGGGACAAAAGGAGACGAGAGATCCTTTTTTCCCTCATTGCATGGCAACTTGTTTGTGTTACAACCATATGGTGACCACATTTTATCTCCATCGTTGGCTCTCGCCTCGTCCTTCGACTCCTAATTATCTTTCTTCTGTACACTTTTTTATTTTTCTTAAATTCAAATCACAATTTTCCCCCGAAGAGGCGAAATCAACTTGAGAACTTCCATTGACATTTCCCTTCAATAATTCACTCTTCATTTGACACCGCGCTGATAAAGTGAAAATGTTCATTTTCCACTTCTTTTTCCTCACCTCCAACGCCGTTCTCGTCCCTCTTTCGCGCCACGCTCCACTCCAATATCATTTACACCACATCTTCTGAGAGTGGCGAGAGCGAAAGAATGGATAAATGAGACCTTCAACGAGATGTGGTCTTGTTCAGAGGGGGGAAAAAAGAAGGCCAAAGAAGTGTCTTATCTCTCGAGCTACACACCAATTTCTCAATTACACGTCGATCACCACTTAGCAGTGTCTTTTTGCTCGCCTTCTGTCTCCCCGACACCCGCTCGCAAATGCTCTTGTCGTCTCTCTAAACAATATATTGTTGAAAAATAATGAGGAGATAATTTGTATTATTCTCCCAATATTACACACGTTACATCGAGCTTGTATTGGAACCCATAAAACAAATTCCCACTTTGCAACGCTTCTTCATTTCCATCGAGACTTCACTCCCTCCTCAATACCACCTATTTTTTTCCTTCACTCCACCAACTCAATGAGAGACTGCCGAAGAATTTTTCGTAGTCGCTTGGAGAGAAGTGAGGCAAAATACGCCAACGCTCCTCGGGACTCATTCCATGTACTCAATGATTAATAGATAATAATATTTAAGTCAAATAAACGGACGAATTGTACATCAATTGAAAATACATAGCATACATTAAGTACTATATGATGGAATTGTGGGCACAGGATGTGCAAAACGAGATGCTTATGCGCATGAATCGCTGGATTTTGGCCACCGCGGCTGAGACACTGTGTGAACAGACTGGGTGAGAAGTGAGAAGGAAAACCAATAACACCCAGGATAGGAATCTATACAAATATTCGCGCTATACAACTTCCCCTCATTGACCTCCCGCGCAGCCCCCAGAAGGCGCACATTCAGCCTCACAATCATTCATTAGGCATCCGCAACCACTCATCATGTCATCCCCCAAATTCGACTGGGAGAGAAAGAGAATATCACCATTTGAATGTGATACTTTGTGGCACAGTCACAATAGCCGAGCTAGAATTCTCCTTCGCGCAATTCGATTATCACTAATCCACATCGCAAATTTGCAACCTAAAAACCTAGAATGGGATTTAAATGAAATAAAAGTAATATAAGAAATTTCCATAATCTCATCATTATCGACAGTCAACATTTTTCCCATCCATACCTTTTTTTTATTCTTCTGCTTCCACTGCGTCAATTCTGTTCCAATTTCAAGCGAATTCATTACACGGAATCATCTTAACCAATGGCAAAGGAATTTTTTTTCTCTCAACTTTACTTCATAGAATAATCGTAGATTATCTCTCTCTCTCCTCAATGTAATTGGAAGAAATAAATTGTATAGGTTGCAATTTTCTCTATCTTATGAATAAAGAATAAATATATATAAGATAGTATAATTGAAATTTTTCTCCACTTCTCAGAAAACACTGTACAAAACCATTATTAATGCACTCTTCCCATATTTATAAGAAAAAGATTACTTCATTCCGAAGGAGGGTCTTGAGTTCATTCGCATTTCTGATTCGATGAACCTCTCTCCCGACACTGTATTTTATTAATCTGTGAAAAGGGGAAAATGGAAAACATCAAAACTGACGTGCACGAAGCTTTATATTGCAATTGCCAGCGAAATGTCTTATGAATTTAACGGCGGAATTCACGGTTTTTCGCAAGCCGAGAAATTCGACAAGATCATTAAGTGCATCTGCAATGTCATCACCTTTCAGCGCGATGACTCAAGAAGAAGATCAACAACCCTGAAATTCTCCTTCTCTTCCAGACTGCAATTTGTCCCTGGATCAAACCACAATTTTAATCAATCGCATGATTTATCATGTAATTTATCTTACACTCGACAATTAGTAAATATCTACCATATACAAATTGAGGAGCTATTAAATTAATACCTCATTAAACAATGGATAATAATGTGAAAATAATGTTGAAGTCAGTTTTCCATTTGGCTAATTGAATCAGCACCGAAAGCTTTATAATCTTTGTAATAGAAAATTATTAAATTTTAATCACCGCACTTATGTATATTGGCTTTTTTGAGTATTATTTTGCACAATTCCTCTCATAATGTCGATACACATGGAATTACATGAAATCAACAGTAGAATATTGTGTAATTTGATGGCGTCTTGGCGACCAAATAATCCGACAAACTAACGCAATTATTGCTTTCTTCGATCCTCACCACCGAGAAAACTCCACGAAGATCGCGGTTCACTAAGCAACTTGTGATGCTCGCTTTTGGTTAAGTTCTTCGCAAATTCTATTCACACAACAATTCAATGCTTGGATTCTCAAAAACTACACCTTGACAGCTGATTTTTTAAAGGAAATCCGGAAAATTATGCGCCAATTGAATGACACTTCAAGTGGATTCCGAAAAATGATTTCAAAATTAATTAACCCATAAATCCAATCAAATATTCAGCCCAAAGCATCTATTGTCAGTCATAGAGGCCGAAAACTTTATCGGGCATCTGCGAGATTGAGCAACTGGTGAAATTATCGTGAAAGTCGAGGCGTGCTTGGCAGACATTGTGCAAATTGTGAATGGATCATTTGCAGACTCCCTTTGCTCCCAATATCTGACTGCGAGCCTCTCTCTCTCTCTCACTTTTCCCTCGGCCTCCCCCTCACTCGGAATGGTCTCATAGCACTTAGCCAGCCCAATATTAACTGATGAGATGTAATTCATCTCGTGAATCATTAATCAAAGTGCCGATTATTTAACTGTTGTTCCACACTCCAAATGTAGAGTGTGTAAATGCGATCAAATAACTTAAGCGAGAGTGCGAAGGAGGCACGCTTGGCGCGCGAGCGAGAGGGATAGCGCTGAAATTAACTACGTTGGCTTTAGCAAAACACACACAGCCAGCCAGCCAGAGCCAAAAGCATCCCGAGAGGCGGCGATGGAGATTAGGAGGAAAAAAGCGTATTGGAAACGTGAAAAAAGGGGTGAATTATTGGATTGGCGCTCTCCGGAAGGGAATTCCGTTACTTCTCGGGCGCTCCAGCAACACCGCGTGACACCACAAATTGCTGGCGCGGAGAGGAGAAAAATTTCATTATACTTTAATTATGCTTTCCCAATATTGACACGACTTATCCCTTGTACAGTGCTGTTGACACACCGAAATAAATATCGTGAAATAATGCTCTTGTGACGATACTTGTTATATATGAAAATTATGTCTCTCTCCCCACACACACTTTTTTTCTCACGACCTCACAATACTCGTTATGATTTATTCAGCAAATAATAATTGTCAGTTAATGTGAACGATGCCCGATTTCTGAGGAATCGGGCTTGTCGGGAAATTCCCTGAATATGGACATCAATCCGAATTGCAGTCTTTCATTTCAGACTTAAACATGCACTAAAGATGCATCTTAAGCAAGAAATATACAAGCTTAAAATCTATCTCAAGCACAGATAAATATTATCCTTATATTCTTAACTTATTATGAATACATCGAAACACTTGAGTTCATTGACTTCACAGTCGTCAAAGTCTGAGAATCCCGATTTTCATGAGCCAAAACGGTTTATCAGGTGTTTTCTAGAGTCTTTCGCCTTCACCATGTCGCTGATGGAGTCTTCCATTTATGAATATTGATTTAGTAATTAAACACCCAATCAAATCAAACAGTGTAGTTTCCTTTGAAATCGTGCCCGCGCGTGATTGTCGTGACACCGCGAGACAATAAATAGTGTCCGGGAAGTGAGATTTAGCGTTCAAATAAAACACACGCGATCACAAGAAGCGTAAGAAATTGGTAAGAAATTATTTATCAATTCAGAAGAAGTCGAAATCACTAAATATCACAAAATATGCAGTAAGAAAATTAAGATAAGGTTCAATTTGTATTTCAAATACAACTTGTGAGTCGAAAATGTTTTGAAATCGTAAAAAATATCTCAAAACATCTCAAAATCTTTTTATTTAATGCATTTTTGAATTTTTCAAAATAATTGTGGGCAAAATCGTTAGTCTTGTTGTCCATTTAAAGCTCCACATCCAGCGCCACCTAGAGATTCGATGTAAAAATTCCGTTCGGAAATTGAAGGTGTTCACGAGCGGATTGTGACAATGAAAGCCATTTAACAGCATTTGTTTATACAAAAACGCCGCATGAGAAAAGCATGGATTGCAAAAGTATTCCTAAAATTGTGAGTATTGCACGAATTACTACATAATTTAGCAAAGAAGACAGTTGGGAAAGCGTAGCTAATTATCAGCACTTTTCAGGAGCTTCATGCTCACCTCAATGGCAGTCTCAGCAACGCAAACATCTTGGAATTGCATCAAATGAAATATCCCCGGAACGATCAGGATGTCAATTCCGAAGCCTACAAGGTGGAGAAGGAACTTCTGGACTTGACACAGTAAGCATATTGTGCAGTGCTGAAGGCGCAATTCTATGGGATTCTTTATTCAACAGGTGTTTTGTAAAGTTCAAATACGCTCACGACTTAACGGACTGTCCTGAGAGACTGGCCAGAGCCACTGAGAACGTGATCCGGGACTTTGCAGTGGACAATGTGGTGTATTTGGAGATCAGGACAACGCCTCGAGCCACTGATTTTATGTCCAGGGAAACTTACTTGTCCACTGTTTGTGAAAGCATCCGCAAAGGCGTGGAGAAACATCCCGGAATCCTCGTGAAGTTAATTCCTTCCATCGATCGCTCGAAGGGCGTCGCAGTTGCCGAAGAAACCGTTCTGCTCGCTGTGAAGATGAAGGAGAAATATCCTGATTTGATCGTTGGCATTGATTTGAGTGGAAATCCAGAGAATACAGAGTTTAGGGATTTCCAAGGAGTGCTGGAGAAAGCAAGAAATTCAGGTCTGAAGCTCGCTCTTCACTGCGCAGAGACGACAGGAACAGTTGCGGAGAATCTGGAGATGCTGCAATTCGGGATGGATCGCATTGGACACGGAACATTTATGGATGAGAGTTCAGAGACGTGGAAAATGCTGCTGGACAAGAAAATCCTCGTGGAATGCTGTGTCAGCAGCAATCTCAAGTGCGGAACTGTGTCTCATGTTGAGAATCATCACATCGGGAAGCTCTTGGAGGCTCGCCATCCGGTGGCAATTTGCGTAAGTCTCGCGTGAATGCAATAAATTCTGCAAGCTTCGTAATTCATCGTAATTTCAGACTGATGACTTTGGCGTTTTCAACACCAGCTTGAGCAGGGAAATCGAATTGTGTGCCAAGACCTTCAATTTACCCCGCGATGCCATCGAGGAAATCACAGTGAACAGCATCAGACACTCTTTCGCAAGTGCCAACGAGAAATCTCGCCTCCAGTCACTTGTCCACGATTTCTACAGACAACAGTCTTGTGGGTAAATATTTCGCATATAAATTACACATTTATTATTGATTTTACATGACGCCATAGAGAAAGAGTATTGCAGAATAATTCTCAGGGAAAAAAAAGAACGGAAAAACACACCCGCAAAAAGGAGGCAACGTCAATTATACATATATATATACAGGAATATTTCAAGAGTGCGCGAGGAAAGGAAGAAAAAATTGTTCTTAACCATTAATTCCAAGATAATAAAGAAAATACTCAACTAATCTGTAAAACATCCAGAAAAATGTGATTTCAACTTATCTCTAACAAACATTCCAAGGTGTAAAAAATAGTAAATCTTCTCCATTTAACATCGATACTTCTGCCTTCTTCTTCATCTCTCAATTCAACTGCCAATTAATGTAATTAGACGACACACATAAATCTTTTTTTTTGTTTTTATATAGAGACTGAGAGAGACTTTTCTCTTTGCTCTCTCATGCAATGAATGTGATTTTCTAACGTGGGAATTTTTCTACTGTCCAAAGTGCCTTTCACTTTTCATCCTATCTTTGTATTCAGCTTGTTCTGCTCATGAGGATCACAGTCAATATGCGAAATCTCGAATATTTTTCTCTCTCTCTTAAATTCATAGCAGATATTTGGCCACATTGGCCAGCAGAGCAGCGCCAAGAATGACATGCGAAGCCCTTGAACTCTCCGCACTATTGGCTCGTCCCTTCTGAAAGTGGAGATAAATTAAAACATTAACAGTGATCAGAATTTGTGAACATGATAGAGACATTTAGAAAAAAATACGAAGCAGAGAACATAGACTAAATCGTTTCCTGTGTGAATCAACACATAAAAAATGACATTGAACGCCACTGATAAAACATGAGTATTTGTTAGAATTCCATCCACATTAAATGCATTTGTAATCTCAGGTTTTATTTACACATCAACTCTGCCCAATGTCATGCACTATGAAATCTCATAAAATCACTGAAATCATTACCAATTAAAATATATCGACAATTGATGAAGTTATGCAACTAATCTCTATAGATATCATGAACAAGAGCATGACCCAATTGAGAATAAAAGCGTTTTTCGCGATGAAACATGATAAATCTCCTACATTTTATGGTTTAACTATATTTTAACTAATTGACATCATGCCTTGTTGCTTCCTTTATTGCACTTCATATGAATTAATACCAAATATCGTCCTTAGACAGTGATTTTAAACATCCGAGATGATTTATCAATGTTATTTCCTAACCCATAAAACCTGTATAAATCTTTTTGTGCTGCTAAATTTTTTTCCTCAAATGCCTTAATGCTGCCAGACGTGATCTTTTTCTCTGTCTTTATCAATTTCGTGTGTTGATTGCCACATAAAAAGAACAGAAAAAGCATCTCTAAAACAACACGATTACTCACATTTATTGAAGTGACGTTCTGGCATGGTGTATTATTGCGAATAAACTTGAAGGCAGAATCCACGAGATTAGCTGGTGTGGATTCCTCACACTTCTCCAACTCCATCACCACGCACATTTGCAGCCTTTCCATGTCACTAATAGGAAAATAATAATAACGAGATTTTAATCATATTTTCCCGCTTGCAAGGAGCGAAATATTGAACTCACTGGCATTGATCAGGACCAAAGACAAACTTCGGCAAATTGTCGAGTGACATCGGTTCATTGCTGATGGTATTGACGCGATCAAAGACCTTCGGGAAGGTCTTGTTGAAGCACTCAATCATGCCATCCTTGCGCTCCTGGAAACACTCTGGGCCCTTCTCAGCAATGAACAGCGCAATCTGATCGCCATCCTTGTGACACACGAATCCCAGCAGACTGTTGCTGATGTTTGTGTACACTTCCTTGTGTGAAATCTCTTCGTTGGTGAGACAAGGCTCCAGCACCTTGGAGAAGTTCATGAAGCATTCACTGGCAACGTGGCGCTTTCGACAGTACTTGTTGAACACCGTGTCCAGTTCACCGTTCGGCTGCGCCTTCTCAATCTCCTCAGTCAGCGAGGAAAAGTTGAAAAGCGTCGTCATGCACTCCATCAACTGTCCAGCAGCCTCTTCGATCGCCTCAAAGGCCGCATCGCTTCCGGACACGGTGTTGCACTTATCCTTGGCCAGCTTCCTGATGTCCTCAATCGGCGCCGTCATGTTGTTCAAATTCGTCGGCAAGAGACCCTCGGGCAGTTGCGACTTCAGGCCATCGAGATCCAAATTCTGACCCAAACTCGCTGCAAAGACGAACAAAATTCATACGATGAGCAATTTATTAACACATCAAAATTGCAAGTTTGATCATAACGACCGATAAGAGACAATTACTCAGTTTCTGTCTCAATATATTTACACGCTAATCAATCGCCACTGTCGTTGATGTGAAATTGCGAGTGAAAAATTTCCCCCATTCATCGCGCGCGCATCCCATTCAAAAGCACCCCCCAATTTATTGCTCATTTGTCGTTCAATTCATAAAAATTACACTCTGAGGACACAATTGATAGAATAAAAATGCGTAAATAAATGAGAATTTATAGCAGTAATAAAGAAGAGCGCTGAAAATTGAATTTCACTCTACAAGAAAAAAAGTATTCATGCATCATTTTGATGGAATGCGCCAGTGATGCCTTTATTTGAGGGCGTTGTGCATTTTATTAAATTCAAAAGATAAACAATACAGTAAATCTCCACCTCGCCTCCAACTTCCCTTCCTTCTTTCTCTCTCTCTTGTCAGTCGCCTTGTCTTTGCAAGCAGTTTCCACTCCCAACCATGTGTCTCTTCATCAATAGAGCAATCCCATTCGGAGCGCACAAACAAAACAAGAACTGGAAATATCAAATGTGCGAATATCTTTTCTTCCTTCGCGCGCTCACATATTCTTATCCATATAAATGCGTCAACATTCGTGACAAGAAAACCTCAAAATCGCGTGATGTGAGTTCATTTGATATGAAAAAAAGGGAAAGAATTTTATTTGTGCTCTTCTCAGCCACCACACAGTGTGTGTTAATACCTTTTGCCCAAAAAAAAGGGAATCGAAATTGTTACACCATTCTTCTTGTGCCAGCAAGTCACCCTTAACTTTTTCTTCTCACCCACTCAACGCGAAAAGCCACTTCCAACATTAATTTTCTATTCATGGCTCAAATTTATTATTCGTCCTCCCAACGCGCCCCAGAGAGAGAGAGAGAAAAAGAAATTCAGGAAGTCACACAAATTCAATATTTTTTCACCTTCCCTTTTGCCAACACTAATTTTCACTCCTGGGTGTTCTGACACACAGTCGAAGGAAGAAAATGGAATATTCTACTCAGTTTATGAGTGACCCAGAGTCATTAAATGGAAAACATCCACAAAATCCACCTCAAAAGTCAAGTGATTTTTCACAACCACTCAACCCAAAACTTAAGTTTCTGTCGACGACCAAAAAAAAAGCGCTCAATTAGTGCTGGAGGAACACACAAGGCTAACACCTTTAAAGCGTCTTCAGACATGCGAATGATGTATGGTGGAAAAGGCAGTGTCAAAGTCCAAGAGATTGAAATAATAAAGCACACTATAAGAGTCACGAGTAATTGTGAGCATTCATCAATATTTTCCACTTTGGCCCGCAATGTGGTGACAACACATCGAAGCCCGTCGACTTTTTACATCATTTGATACCGATAATTTTATATCACTCAACCTCCTTTGTTTAATCCTCCGCGCTTTGTCGCTTGTATTTGAATCACTCTTCTCCAACTACAATTTGTTCCCATGCGATTGATTGAGTGTGAATGCGCCGTTTTGTTATTTCAAATGAAAAATCCCCCCCACCCCATTTTTTTGCTCTACTCTAGAGTAGAGTGTGAAACACCCCACACAACAAATTGAACTTTACCTCCTGAGAGCTGATTACGAACACAGCATTGATGTCATTAACTTTTAATACATACAATCTGAAAAGCACATCTCAATACAATTGCCCGATAACAATTCCAGATTTTATACTTTGTCCCACTTGACTCTTGTTGCCTGTTGCACGTATAATTAAATTCCATCGAGACTCTCTTGGCTTCTAAAATGTGTTCTAAATTGATTTGCTGACAAGATTCACTCTGTGAAATCATTCCACAGCAAGAATTTCTCTTGGGAGCTTCGCTTCTTTCTTCTCTTTTTTTTTCTCATAATACACAACATTCAACCCTCGGCTTTTCGTGTCATAAAACAATTACACATGTAACTCTTTTACTGTATGACACACCCTCATAGTTTGTCCATTTAGTCATCTTCGCAAGGGAAGCGAAACTAGCGAATTATGACTAATTGACTTCTTGTTGTGTGTTAAAAAAAAGGTGCCTTTAGCGGAGGAAAATTTCGACAACGCGCGAAAGGTCATCAGTGCCCACTTTTCCAATGTTTCCAATTAGATTTTGGCTAATTCTCAAGGTCCAAAAACAGGGTGGAGCAATTGAAGAAGCGTCACTCACATTTTTCAACTCTACAGAGACAGAGAAAGTAAACGAAGAGAATCTTCAGAAAGCATTTTATCAAAACAATAGCAGAGAACATACCAAATGCAGTTCATCAACCCAAATGTTTGCTCACAAAGACTCTACATTATTAGTTTGTATGTTAGAAACTTATCTCTGACAGCATCTTTACATTGAACAACATCAAAAGCTAAGATTGTTTTCAACAATTCTTGAAGTAAATTAAGAGCTCGAGTTTGTACCTAAAATTGCCACACTTTCTTACTTAATTATCAGGAATCTACAGTAAAACGGAGTGGATTTATATTTAAAAGAGAGGAAGAAAAGATAAGATAGTAAACTTTAGTACAGATAAGCAAACATTGAGATTTTTGCTACCAACACAAAATTGAAAAATTCAATTTAAATCAATCAAGGAATATTTCTAACAAATCAGATAATTTTTTTTAAAGAGGAAATCGAGAAAATATTTCTCAGAAGTTTCAAAATGAAGCAACATTAGCACAATTGTGCGTTTCAATAGAAAACCAACGTTTTTCCAGCAATTTGTAAAAAGAGCAATTTCCATGCTAATTTGCACTCAATTCATTCTAAAAATCACCCGAAAATTAATCATTATGATGATGATTTTGCCTTGGTCAGCACTCTGGCCTTTCCAATGGACGTGAAATCGTGTGACAAAGTCGCTTATCACCGATAAAAATTACAGCACACGAATTTTTTCCGTGGCCAGAGTGCATTTGGGGCGTGTTGTTTTTTTTCGGGAGAAGGTTACTCACCAGAGATCATGAGGAATATTCCCAGGAAAATGCCAATTGATCGAGCCATGTCTGATTGGTGGCTTGGAGGAGAAAATCACTGCTGGCCGGAGATCTGCGGGATACATTGGATTGATGAGTTAATGTGAGGGAAAAGGCATGAGAAAACATGAGGGCAAGTGTGTAGTTTAATTCGTCTTTTGTGCGCGATAACACACTCTTGTCGCATTCTTCTGCCTCTCTCCCTCTCTCTCCCTCCTGTCCCGCCTCGGGCGCGCGCTGGCCAGTGTGCCGAAGGTCACCGGGCAGCTGCTGTCCTGGTGGGATTTCCTCCTTTGCCGAGCGAGTGGCCTTTGGAACACTTTCAGGTATCAATTGTTAATGCCGTGCACACGTAGCGTGAGAATGGCAATTTGTGGCGAAGCGTGAGATTTTTCCCGGCTGCGATTCCTCAAGGTGAGAGCATCACCCGAGTGCGCCTCCCTCTGGCCAGCAATCCTCCGTGCCGGGGCCAATTGACAGAGGCGCACACTGAAGCGTGATATTTGCCCTTTGACTCTCAGGGTGACGAGCACAATTCGCCCCACATTCACAATTTCCCACACACACTGCTCCTGCGGACAAGTGTCCGGCGATCTCGGCGAGGGAGAGAGAGGATGCGCTTCTCCTGGAAACAAAACAGCAGGAAGCCCCTTACACTCAATACACGGAGATCCGCGGGACTCCAAAAGCTCACGTCCGGACACTTCGACACTCCACGACACACTGACTCGGCAGCTCTGCGTCAGTCGGTCGCTCAGCGACTCTCTTGCATAAAGTCAACTGTTACGTTTCCTGCATCCATAGAACGCCTTGGGCCGCCCCACTCAACACCCCCCGCGATACTCGCGTTGCCCAGGAAATGACTGGCGAGATTCTCAACCCTAACCTCACACTCAGCGTCTTTGGGGCCCCAGAAGACTGCCAGCAAACACTATTCCCCACTCTACTGAATCCCCAGCACAGTTCTGCTAGCTCGTGAGAGCAAATGTTTTGGCTACTAAGCGTGTAAAAGGTGGAAAATGTAGAAAATACAAAATCTGCGGGTGTCAAAAAAACACGGCTGAAAAACTTCTTGAAAAAAGTGTTGCATCATTGCACTCCACAACTCCAGTGCGCCAAGATAGATGGCGAGCGCGGCGGAGAAATGACTTTAGAGTGACGGCGATTTGTTATGATCCCATCATTGAAGTGCAGTTCTCTCTAAAAGTTCCCTTTTCACGTGTTTTCTCACAATAATACCTTGAATTTTCACGATTTTCTTGTAGTTTATCTACCGGGAAGTGTGACAGAGTGAGATATCGTAGAATTAGTTTGTGAAGTGCAACAGGAAAGCTGGTCTAACCTCAAACAATGTCATCCGGACACAAGTGCAGAAACTGCGGCTCCGCTGACATTGAGGTGGATAGCGCCCGTGGCGATGCAGTGTGCACCAATTGTGGCTCCGTGCTGGAGGACAATATCATTGTGTCTGAGGTGCAATTCGAGGAGAATGCACACGGAGCCTCCAACACTGTGGGGCAGTTTGTGTCGGCGGATTCGAAGGGCGGAGCCACGGTTTATGGCAAGTTTCATGTCGGTGTGGGCACGGAATCGCGAGAGGTGACACTGAAGAAGGCCCGCGAGGGCATCACTCACCTGTGTCATCAGCTGCACCTCAACACGCACTGCATTGAGACATCCTGCAACTTCTTCAAGATGGCCCTCAACAGACATCTGACCAGAGGCCGGAAGAACAGCCACATCTACGCCGCCTGTGTCTACATCACCTGCCGGACAGAGGGAACATCTCGTGAGTGGAATTGGAAGGGTTTCCCGTGGAGTTTTACTGAACTTGTGAATGTTTCTGCAGATCTCCTCATCGATATCAGTGATATTCTCCAGATTTGCTGCTATGAATTGGGCAGAACTTACTTGAGACTCTCGCAAACCCTCTGCATCAACATTCCATCAGTTGGTGAGTGAAAAGATTTCATTTATTCCTTGAAATTACCATTTATTTGCTTGTATTTCTCACTTGAATTCAGTCAATTCTTACATCTATAAATACTTCATTATAATCTTATGACATCTATATTTGCTAATATTCTACTCTGGGAATGGGAAGTGACTTAATCAACTTCCTCAACTGTTGGCCCAGTGTGTCTCTGGGGCCCGCCAGCCTGTTGTCCGCAGGAAGCTCCGCCGGCGCTGTGCAGTTTCGTCATGATTGGACTGCAGACGGTGGAGAGTTCCTTCATTCTGTGTTCGTACTCCTCCTTGTCAGCCAGTGTGTTGGAATCCAGCCACTTGAGGGCTTCATCGCAGCTCTTCTTCACTGTCTCTCTGTCCTGATCGCTCAGCTTCTGTCCAGAACTGTCCAGAGTTTGCTTCAGGCTGAAGATGTAGCCCTCAAATTGATTTCTGGCGGAGATCTTCTCTCGCTGGCGTTCATCCTCTTCGCGGAAGCGCTCAGCTTCGGCCAGCATCCTGTCAATGTCCGCCTGAGACAATCGTCCGCGGTCATTCTTGATGGTGATGTTCTTCGCCTGTCCTGTGCCCATTTCCTTGGCCGACACGTTGAGAATGCCATTGGCGTCCAAGTCAAAAGTCACCTCGATCTTGGGCACTCCTCGTGGTGCTGGTGGGATTCCGGACAAGTCAAACTGTCCCAGGATATTGTTGTCGCGCGTCATAGCTCGCTCTCCCTCGAACACCTGAATGGCGACGCCGGGCTGGTTGTCAGCGTAGGTGGAGAATGTTTGAGTCTGTTTGCAGGGAATTCTGGAGTTTCTCTCGATGATCTTCGTCATGACGCCGCCAGCTGTCTCGATTCCCAGTGACAGTGGAGCCACGTCCACGAGGAGAACATCTTGAATCTTGGAATCCTTGCTGCCAGTGAGAATTGCCGCCTGGACAGCGGCTCCGTAAGCCACAGCTTCGTCGGGATTGATGGAGAGATTGAGTGCCTTGCCACTGAAGTAGTTCTGCAAGAGGCTCTGCACCTTTGGTATGCGTGTTGAGCCTCCCACCATGACGATGTCGTGAATTTCTCCCTTGTCCATCTTGGCGTCTCTCAGGGCTTTCTCCACGGGCTCCAGAGTGGCTCTGAAGAGATCGGAGCAGAGCTCCTCGAAGCGAGCCCGGGAAATCTTTGTGTAGAAGTCAATTCCCTCCAGAAGAGCGTCGATTTCAATGCTGGCTTCGGTGCTGGAAGAGAGTGTCCTCTTGGCTCTCTCACATGCCGTTCGGAGACGTCGAAGGGAGCGTGGATTGGAGGTGATGTCCTTCTTGTACTTTCGCTTGAATTCCTCAACAAAGTGATTCACCAGACGATTGTCGAAGTCCTCACCGCCAAGATGAGTGTCTCCGGCTGTTGCTCTGACCTCAAACAGTGATCCCTCGTCAATGGTGAGGATGGAGACGTCAAAAGTGCCACCGCCCAAGTCGAAGATCAGCACATTCTTCTCTCCCTTCAAGTTCTTGTCCAATCCGTACGCCAGAGCGGCGGCTGTTGGCTCATTGATGATCCTCAAGACATTCAGACCAGCAATGATGCCGGCATCCTTAGTGGCCTGACGCTGGGAATCGTTGAAATAGGCAGGAACCGTGATGACTGCGTCCGTGACTTGCTGTCCGAGATAAGCCTCAGCGGTTTCCTTCATCTTGGTCAGGACCATTGAACTGATTTCCTCTGGTGTGAAGCGTTTCCTCTCACCCTTGAACTCCACTGCCAATTTGGGCTTTCCAGCCTCGCTGACAACAGCGAATGGCCAGTGTTTGATGTCCTCCTGGATCTTCTGGTCGTCGAACTTCCTGCCAATGAGTCTCTTGGCATCGAAGATGGTGTTTCTGGGATTCATAGCCACTTGATTCTTTGCTGCATCGCCAATGAGTCGCTCTGTGTCCGAGAAGGCGACATAAGATGGTGTTGTCCTGTTGCCCTGATCATTGGCGATGATCTCCACTTTGCCGTGCTCGAAGACTCCCACACAGGAATATGTGGTGCCCAAATCAATTCCAATAGCTACCATTTTGCTCACTTTTTCAATACTTTTGTCACTTGTTAAATATTTCACTGCTTTTCTTCACTCGCTCTCGAGTTGGATTGCTTGATTGCTTTTACTGAACTGTGGCTCTGAGCGAATCGTCTCGGCATTTATACCGTTTCACCGTGAGCGCGGGAACATTTGAGAAGTTTCGAGAATGTTCCATGTGCATTTAAATGGCACGGTCACCATGGAAACCGCTCGATGCTTCGGGAATATTCTCGGCTTCTCGATGCTTCTCTATTGCGTTATTTGTTTATAGTTTTTCTGCACGGGTTTATTTGGCAATTTATTTATAGATGCTCAGATCTGAAAATAGTTTTAATCATAAGAAAGTGACTTTTGATGTATGAAATTTTACCTGGACATATTAATTAAATTCAGGTGTTTTTCTCTAATAATAATAATTCTTGTAAGGATTTGCAAAACTTTAATGAAATTTGTGTACAAAAATATAAATATACCATTAAAGATAAACATTGCGTAATGTTAATAAATTGTACATTTAATACAAAAAAGATTATAAATGTACAATTTACATCTTGAACATTGTTTCACAATGAATTTCTCATAAAATTATTCCATTGAACGTTGAGATTGAATAATAAATCATTTATCATCGAGAAAAATACTAAACGTTGAAAAAATTACAATTCATAATTTTGTAGAATTAGTAATATAATTTTACTCTGATATCATGAAATCTGACGAAATTTTTATGCAATGCTAAGAGATTTTAATGAAATTTCCTGTACAATTTATGCCTTTTTTCATATTTCTCACGTCTGTGCGGAGACAAAATTGTTTTATTTCTTTACCAAAATACCACCAAATAGCTTTGAGGCGAGAAAAGTGAGAAATATTGCACGTATTTTCTGTTTTATTGCTTTCGAGAAAGTTCTCATTGTGTTATTTGCACCAGAGAATTGTCGGGATTGTTCGAGATTGTTCGAGATTCCTGGCGATGTTTCGAGTGTCTTCTGTGGCTGTTTATATTGATGCGCGACGGGAGTTCTTGTATCAGTTGAATTCAAACAGTGCTTGAGTGCAAAAGCAAAATAAGAGTGAAGAAAAATGTCTCTTCTGCCAATGTTGTGGAATCTCGCTGAGGACTTTGACCAAGTGGATCCTCGCTTCGGCGTGAGCTTCAATCCTCACGAGCTGATGATGGCTCAGCGTCTGCCTCAGTGGATGCGAATGCCGTCTGGCTACAGTCGGCTCTGGAAGCTGGATGAGGCCGAGAGGCAGAGAATGGCTGCAACGCAGGCGACTTCGTGCTCCGGGAAAGATGGCTTCCAGGTGTGTCTGGATGTGCAGCAATTCGCGCCCAGTGAAATCACAGTGAAGGTGGTTGATAAGTCGATTGTCGTTGAGGGCAAGCATGAGGAACGCGAAGATCAGCACGGATTCATTTCGCGCCAGTTCAGCCGTCGCTACGTCTTGCCCAAGGAATACGACATCGATCAAGCCGTCTCCACGCTGTCTTGCGACGGAGTTCTGACCATTAAAGCCCCACCAATTGCCAATGCGGTGGAGCAGAAGGAGCGCCTGATCCAGATTCAGCAAACTGGTCCAGCTCATCTCACTGTCAAGGGCGTCAAGGCCACGCAAAATGATAAGAAATCCAACTAGAACTGAACGAAAACTCTCTGACCGAATTGTATTCTCATTCCTTAAGATGTGTGTGAAATTCTAAGACTAATAAAAGACTTGTGAAGTATAAAGAATTTAATTGTTTATTTCTACCTCGTCATCTTTCATTTCTACATGAAATTGTGAAGCGAAACTATTACATATTATAGTCACTGCCTTCATCAAAATGCAATCAATCAATCAATCAATAATAATAATAGTATAATTTTATGAGATGACATTGAACCTCATCGTGACCACAAGAGTGAGATTATATTGTTTAAATAAAAATATCAGTACGTGTTTTTGACACAAGAAGAAAACATTTTCTCCGCAGAATATATTCAGAAAGGCTGTTCTTGCTTCTAGTTTTCAAACCTCTACTTCTCGCGCTCTCTAAGAAATTCTCAATGTTTGTCTTTTTGATTGTTCAATCTACAAAATATATTCTTATTACTCACATTACGTCTACTAAGTATTTCAAGCTACCAAGGACTAATAAGAATTGATACACAACATTTAACTTAAAGAGTCCTTTGAAGGATTGTTTCTTACGTAGTTTTTAAGTATTGATTCTGAGATTTTTTTTTTCTTTTATATCATACATATTGATTTGTCTTTTATGGTTATTTATCTTGCTTTTATCATCACGTGAAAGACATAGTTTTTGTGTGTGGTTGAATGCAATTTTTGTTGCTTATGTTTTGTGCCTATGAAATTATGTATGTCTCTGACATATATTGTATTTGTGTGTGTTTAGCAACTTCACCAGGTTATTCTGCCATAATTGCAACATCATCCCGTCTAATTTAGATCACATTAATTAGAGAAACCTTTAGTTGTTGGCGTTCTTGTGTCGTCGAGCACCACTCAATCCTCTCCGTTGTTGTTCCCGATGATCGTTGTTGAGGTGTTGTTGTTGCTGTGACTAGTCGTGGGCTGCTGTGCGACAGCATTCAGTGGTCCGTAGAAGATCAACTCGGGGATTTGGCCACCCTGGACGCCAGTGCCATTTGTGCTCTCGCTCGAGCACTGAAACTGGAATGTCACATTGCCCATGCACACCTCAGTCATGCCCTCCTGCCCGAAGAAGCTCAGCTCGCTGCCGTCCAGGATCACAGAGGCCGTGTAGTAGGAGTCGGGCTCAATCTGGATGGGGTTCTCGAAGAACACGTGGAAGGTGTTGCTGGAACCGTCTGAGAAGAATTTCGTGTTGTTCTCCGCCAAAATGCGTCCCAATCGCTTCAGCTCGATCTTCACGTTGTAATCCGCAGCGCCGGTTGATGATCCATACAAGCCGAAGCCAATGATGAAGATCCTCTTGTCCACGGAGAACTGAATGGAGTCACAGCGGCCTCGGTAGCGCCACTGGTTGCTGCGATAGGCGCACGACTGGAAGCGGTGGCACACCTGCGTCTTGAGTCCCGTGCGGGCTTTGCTGGAGAAGTTCAGTTGCGGCTTGTTCTTGGCCGTGAAGTGGAGAAAGATGTCAATGGTTTCCTGCGGCGTGAGAATGCCCAGTTGTGCCACACCGTTGGCAAACTCCTCCAGTGTCATTGTGGGAATTCTGATCATGGTGAGTGCTTGACCGAGAACATTCCTCCTGTTCTGCGGCGTCGCGTCAATATCCATCTTGTGACATGCAGACTGAGCCCAATTGAGAGCCGCCTCGAATAAGTTAATCTCCTTGCAATTGAGAGTTTCACGACTCAAGATCGACTCGAATGTCTTCAAGTCAATATCGACAAATCCCTCAGATTTTATTGCCATCTCCGCCTGAAGAGAGATTTAGAGAGAATTTAGAGAGAGAGCGAAAGTGAATGCAAAAGTGCAAAAATACTGTGTAAACAGGGATTAAAAAGGTGTTCTTTTTTTGGCAGTGAAAGGATTGGTTCATGTGAGAGTTTTAAGGGGGGAAAATGAACCTGAAATTGTAATTGCGAGAGAGAGAGAAAAAATGGAAAATTAAGACAAGTAAAACTGCAATACTGTGATTTTATATTACATTTTTATACACACCATCTTTCATTATATCTTTTACACAAAAGTCCTCAACAGAAAAACATTAATCTTAACATCGTCACACAATTGATACAGATTGTGAGTGAGACAATTAGACACACGACGCACACACACTGAATGAACATTGAATTTTACAACACTATTGCATATTAATGTCAATTAATTTCTCTTTCCTATGATTTCATCCAAAGATATGTTGTATATTTTGTATCTTGCCAAATGATTGTTCTAGAGATGATGATGATGATGATTCAGAAGACATACACAGCAATGTTTCTTTTATAGCACAATTTCTCAATCCAACACTTAACAACAATATTTCTTAATGACTATTATGAGCAAATTCATTGTTTTTCTCTCTTTTTTTCATTTAATACAGCAAAAAAATTGTCTATATATATGCGATTGTACAAAATATAAAATACACGTATTGCAGTTTATAGAAACATCGTAACAATTTTTCTTTTATGAATTCTTTTTTATGATATCAGTCGAATTGTGTCAATACAAGTTTATAAAATTCTAATGATGATAAAATTTGCCAAAAGATAAAAAAGAAAAGTCACTCAATTTAGAAAAGAATCCTAATCATGGTGAGTAATGCGCGGGCAAATTGATGTGTGAAAAAGAGTGGTAAAAGGAGTGGAACTCTTCACTGAACAATTCCTTGTGTCTGTTGCTTGGCCAATTGACTACTGACAACGTTGATGTCGAGTGATTCTAAATTGATATTGTCTACCGTTTCACATACCTGAGCATCGATAACTTCCCAGCAACGCTGCATGAGATCTGGCTCCTCAAACAGGCGCGACTGGCTGAGGAGGAGACAGGCGTTTTTTGCCGTCAGACTAGTCTCGAGATAATTGACGCAGGCCCGCGCCAAGTGTGGCACGATGTACTTCTTGGCGACGTAGAGTGTGGCAAGCACATTGTCCGCCTCTAGATGGATTTCATCACAGTATAGGTACTTGAGTAGGGTGAGAAAGGCCGACGGTTCGACGTCTGGCACGCGGATTTCGGACTTGTTCTCCGCCAGGCCACCGTAAAACATGGCATAGAAGACTGAACTGCCGGTGGCCAGCACGTATTTGTGGGCAGGAACTGTCTGCGTGTGATCTGGAAGGGTGAAATTGTTAGCATTCTATTTGGCGGTGGTTCAGCAGCTCTTCAGGGACTCACCATCGGTTCCCACGACGAACTTGATGTCTGCCATCAGCTCATTGTTGAACATCGCGGCGTTCCTCTCGCGAACTGTGGGCTTTGTCGCCTGCCAATTGGGATCCCCAGTGTCGATGACTGCGAAAGAGGCGCCCGCAGATGATGGCAAACTGAATGATGTCACATTGAGGGCTCCCGGAGAGGCCAACGGTGACGATGGGGCGCTGCAGGGCTGCATCACTTGCATGTTTTCGCGCTGCATGAGAACGCTGTTGTGAGGCGGAGACACTGGGTGTCCGTTGTTGAGAGTTTCTTCTGCAAGACACACGAGGATTTATTGATTTTCCTCCCATTTCAATATATTCATGTGTATTCTGTGAATTTAGAAAGGCTTGACGCGCGAGCATTCTACAAAGTCTCCCACCTTCGGTGCTCTGACAAAAAGCGTAATTTTCCATTCATTCCTTCCAGAATCTTTTTTAATCTCTCTTTTTTTGCACAATGCTTTGCCATTCTTTTTCTACACAACATCTCAATGCGAGAGAAAAGATCAAGAAGTAACAGAAAAAAAACATTCGCCTCCATTGGAGCGCCTCTTTTTGTCTGGATCCCAAAAACATTTTTTTCACTCACCGTTTATCCACGGATGTGTTTGTAGGTAAGACATATTAGTGTGTTCAGGATGGCGCTTGGTGGGTTTAGGTGCGATTTTCGAGTACAAATTGGACATTTCAGTAGGATAGACACTTGAAAAATGAAAAACTTGGCGCACAGAAACACCTTTTCCGTCCCCGTGAAGTGACTTTGGGGAGCGAAATAGGCAGATAAAATGGCCTGAGCGATTCTCAGCGAAAATCAATAACAAAAACATCGCTCAGCGACTGTCATGCGCACTCTGCCTTACCGACCGCACAACGCACTTTCATTCATGGAAAATCTCCCGCCAAAAGCGAATGCGTATATTTTATGCTCGTTTGCTTCTGTGAAGCATGATGAGATCATCAATAAATTATTCTTTTTTTTGTTCTCATTAAAAGCAATTAATACAAAGTTTTTCCATTTACTTCTCTTCTTATGGGTTCATTGACAACTGAATGGAGAGAATCTGATTGTTATTTTTTTGGCAGAAGGACGTCCAGATGCACCTTGAAAATTGTTTACTGTCTTATGTTGCAATAGTGCAGCCAAAAACGGTAATTTCAAGATCATGCATAATGTTATTCAATAGATTGGTGTTTACAAAAACTTTCTGCTGATATCAAGTGTTTGCTAATTTGCTACACTTTATGTAATCGTGTGCTGCATTGAAAAGTGCTGTATTTTGGATACTTAGGAATTGTAGAAATTCCTAAGCATTTTAGCGTAAATATAAATAATAATCACAAGATGTTTAAACTAAAATCGGTCATGAACATTTGTGAGTTGAAGGTTTTCTTTCCAATTCGTGTGTCGCTCTTTAACTTCCTCTTAATCAAATTAGGAAATTCACGAGCTTTCAATGGGATGTGCACTGACTGTTCGCCGTCTGATGATCATTTGAGGAACTAGAAGACATCACTTTATTTGTGACTCTCTCTCTCTCTCTAAAGTTGATCACCTTGATTTTGAACACAAATGTCCTGTTCAGCATCTACGCTTAGGAATGTTAATGAATTATCTGCTAAAGTTGCTCACTTTTGGGCAGATTTACGAAAAGATTTGTCTTCTTCTCTGTCTTGTTGTATATTTTTGTGTTCAATTGTTGTTGATTGAGCGCGTTGTTGAAACAACTTTTCAATATAATTCTTGTACAGTTATTGCTGTTGCATACAAAGTGGAAATTTATTCCAGTGTCATGCAAACATGATTGCAGCCGGACTATTTTGCATCACACACAGCGCGAACAAGAGTGTGTGTGTATTTTGCAGATCTCAATCATACGCACGGGACTTTCGGGAGGCACAAAGTGTGTAAAAGTTCTTACAGATTGTAAACAAATTAACCTTGTGTGTTCTGAGTTTGTATGTTATTTTTTAGCTTGAGTTCCTTCGCCTTTCCCTGATTCCGTCTCGCTGTCGACAGAGAAGTGTGGTTGAAAGGGAAATGATTCGCGAGACGGAAAGTGAAAGAAATATTGTCTTGAGAAGTGCACAAACAAGAGGAGAAAAAAAAGCTCACCCATGAAGTATAAGTTGTAGATTGCATTTGGTTGACCTTCTGGTCGCTGCACATTCTCCTGATAATTTCGGTGGTACGGCGGGTGAATGTTGTTGGGAAGCACGCCAACCACATTAACACCCAGTCCACCGATCTCGTCCTCCTCCAGGGTGAGAAAATTGTCCAACACTGCGACTCCGCGCTCCAGTGGCTCGTGGATCTTCTGCACGAGCGTGACACAGCGATAGAGCAGATACCAGAGGTCCGTCTGTGTGCCGGCCCAGTGAAGGAGTTGTCGTCCAAAGTGTCCACTCAGGGTCTCCGCGAGAACGTGGCTCATTCTTTATGCATCCAACTTTCGCTCTCACCCCGAAAATACTCTCATTGCGATCACACACAATCACCGTCGCGCTGTTCGGGTCTGCAAAGGAGGAGAAACGATTGCAGATTGTCATTATAAAATCTTGCCAATTCCCCCGCAAATTATCTCACACTCGCATCGTCACAGTTAATGATAGCGCGGTGTATTTTTTTTTTGGCCAATCTCTTTGTAATTTTAGCCCCGAAAAAAAAACACCCAGAGTAAATTGAAGAGATTCAATTAGTGGGTTTACTTTCGCTTTTCTTGACTTCATCTCTCTCTCTCTCTCTCCCACTCTTCATGTGGTCTTTTTCACCACATCTGCCATCGGTTTTGTTGATGTGCAATGAGAAAAACAGCTCTTTTTCTCAAAAGGTACTTTTATCCAATTTTTATTATTGATTCAATGGGATATGACGAAATGAGGGATAATAATTTCTCAGGCGGACAGAGTTGGTGACTTTCGTCGGGTTGTTTCTTGTATAGATTTTGCGATAAGAAAAAATGAGTAAGATTATGGAAATTATACAATAACTACTTGTTTTTGGCAACGAGGGCTTTTTATGTAAACTGTCTCAGCATATATCTCATGAAATGAGCTTTTAATTTCACATTAAACTGTTGTCGTTTACTGGATTCCACTTTTCTTACGATTTAATTTTAAGCAAACATTGAATAACGAGAATTTCAATTACATTCTTCAAATTCTCCCAATATTTTACAATCTTCTGCTGCTCAATTGCTGATCTTTCATCTGTGAATTTCACAGCTCAATTTCGCGAAATAAAGGATTGTAATCAGTGCAGTATTTGAGCAATGTATTGATCAACAATATACTTAACGACCAACGAGTACAGGGAAGCCCTGCTCTTAAAGACAATTACCCAGTGTCGTGACCCTTTTGCTGAGCGGCAAAATCTGAAGTGTAAAATGAAAAGGAGACCTTTTGACTTATAAAAGTTGCACACTTGTTGCAAAACGATGGAAAAGTGTGATGGAGTGTGAATTTTCATAAGCATATAGCCGGGAAACTATATTTTTTCACAGATTATCCTCTGAATTATTGGCATGTTGGTTCTCTCACTCACACTTGGGTCGTTTTTGATTTTGATTTGTCAGCGTGATTGCCGAAATTGTTCCTTTGGGGTCGAATATCAACACCTTGGAATTGATGAGGCAACATATCTCTCTCTCTACACCCATTTGCACTACAAAGTACAGCTAATATAGCAGCAGTATCAATAAGAAAACCAATAAATTGCAATATTAAGTGAATGTGAAATGAAAATTGCTGGCTTGATAAATTATTCAAAGTGTGTAGTGGTTGCAAGTTCTGTCTCTTCGATTTTTCCTTCAGGGCTGTTCCTGGCCACAATACCTTAAGCCAGTCACGTCTTGTGAAATTGCTAATACACAAATTTTCGATGGATGTTTCCATCGGACAAACGTCTTACACGTGTGTGCATTTGTGAATGTGTTTGGGTGAATTGATTAAATGAGAAAATTTATGCAAATATCCAACGAAAAGCTGAGGTTTTCGGTTGAGCTGAGGTGACCATTGAGTAGTGAGTGAGATAGAGAGAAAGAGAGGAGATATAAAAAAAAAGACTAAATGTCTCGGCAAATTTGGTGAAGAAAAAATATTTGTTCACACAATATTTTTCCCCATAAAATCTGATGATTTTCTTATGCTTGAGTTCCGTGTTATTTTCTTTAGTTTTTAGCTGGCTAGACTTTACATTATGCCGTTCTTCTTGTCACGATCGGGTGACTGAGGGGGATTTTAATTAGTATATCACTAAAATACATTCATGCGGTGAATATTAAATGTTTTTAACTTTTAATAATATGGGATTGTTTCACCTTGGTATTTTAATATAGTTGATAAATATTTCACGTGTGGTGTAAAATGTTTGCAGTGCTCGGAGATAAAATGTTTCCAATCTGATGATCAAATCTCGCTTGGTGTGGTGAAAATTGTCATTTTTATATTGTCATTATTGAGAAATGCCAAAGATATTCATTTATGATGCGCTGAGGGACTCAATAAAATAGAAAATAAATGATTATGACTAATTGTGTGTCGTATTTGTCAAAAATTTTAGACAAAGGTTTATTCACTTGTGTGTAAAAGGTCATGATCTTTGTCTCTTTTAATAGCATTGCAAGACACACAGTTTGGTTCGATCAAGTTGCTCGTGCAAAATGGAAATTTTTATATTGAAAGTGAAGTCAATGCATAAAATTAAAATAATTTTTTGTCGTCTTCCCCATCAAATAGTCGCGTTTTGTGCTTCTTTTATTACGAATTTCCTATGAATTTCAAATGATATGATTATTTAGCGGCACTGACGCGACTGTCGAAGTGGAGAGACGAAGTCTCTCGCCACTAGTGAAAAAAATATCACACAGAGACACACATTATTTATGATTTAATATTATATATTGTGTGAGGTTTCGAAAGAGCGCGCGTCTCTAGAGTTGAAATTTAAATTAATCTCAGATGAGAATGGAACGCCCCGAGTGGAGGAATAAAAAATAAGAGTGAATGTGTGATATAAAAATTCGGCGTTTTTGCTGAATTGTGCGACGATAGAGTGAAAAATACAAAGCAATGATTGCATTTGAAATTAATTTTTTTTTACTGCTTCAACCTCTGCATAAGCTAATTAAAGTTAGTCATAAATTCATGGCAAAACTACTGAGAAAATGTATTTTTGCGTATATTTTTTTATCTTGCATTTTTTTTTTGGGGATTTTCGTGACTTAGCCCAGAGTGTTTACACTTCCAAGGTGTGTAAATTATTAATTCAATTATATAAAAGACCAAACTGTTGTGTGTGAGATAATAGGTGAAAAATTCATGGATTTTGTAAAAGAGCAAGTGAAGGAAAATGCGATAATGATTGTGAAAACAAGGGTGTATAAATACAATTTTCACGATGAAAGAGATGTTAAACAATTACACTCAATTGAAGAGGTGCAAAAGCACAAAAGAAGGTGAGATTTTAGAGACCACCATAAAACTCACCGTTTCCTTCAATCAATCACTGGCGTTTTTCCACTTGTAATTTCCCGATGATTTTATTGGAGCTGATCAGCAAGATCATAAACATAAAATATCACTGTGGGAAAATATTTTTTCTTCCACTTACTGTCGTGCTTTACGCGCTGGCAATCAGTCTTAATCACTGTTTTTAACCACGTCACACAGCCAATTCGCCGTTGGATATGTGTGTGTTTGTGTGTGCACAGAAAGTTTAATAGATTAGAATTAATAAATCTCTTTTTTCACCTTCTGCTTTTCAACTGTCACACAGCGGAAAAAAAGAATTGTCCAAACAACACACACACGAGATTTGCCGTGATGGAGTTTAATTGCTGCGTGGAAAACCAGAAGTTAAACACTGTCACTAGTGGATGAAAAATTGCTCTCCAATGATTGCAGAAAGGCAGAACTGATTCTGTGTCTCTGTGCGTTGCTCAGAATCTACAGAGATGAAGTGTGCCAACGTCGGACAATTAATCAGTGAACAAATTGTATTAGGATTGCAATTCTGTCGCGATACAGAATTGCTGCTACTCCGTGTGAACAGCTCTTTGGAGCACCAACAGACGACTGACTCGACTGATAGTCTCGGCTTGTCTCTCTTGGTCACTTCCAGTGAGGCGGCATTGCTCGCGAGGAGGGAAGCTCACCTGTTCCGTGGGGGTCACAACACACATTGCCACAAGTGTGTATCAACGCGACGCGCCTTTTTCGATAAATTCCCTCAAGACGGTGACAAGAATACTCTGCTGATGTGTAGACTCTTGGCCGGAGTGAATCTCTGGATTCTGGTTTTCTCGTTTGTTTGCATACTCAAATTTGTGCACAAACGACCCAGAGTTGCTGAATTCACAGTTTGAAGATTTTACAGCATGAAGAAATGCATAAATTACAGTTATATTTAGATGAGGACAAATGTTAATGAGGTTACAAATATTTTGGAACTTTGACTTGTTTGTGAAAAACAAAATGACTTGTCAATATTTCTGCATTCACTTCGCCTAATGATATTGAATTGTTTTTTCCATTCATAAGCTTTCATTTTGAATAAAATTATAACTTTAGAATGGTTTTTCTGCATCTTGCGATAGAAATCATGAAATGTCGCTCTGTGAACTCTTGGCTGATAAATCTGAGTGGAAATGGGAAGTTTGTGCGTGACTGTTTCGTTTGTGTGTCGTCTTGAGAGACGTGAGCATGTGTGCGAAGGTGAAAAAAGGCAACTTTGCGACAGAATGCAAAGATGGACAGTGAAATTTCAGCAGCTGATTTCAGTATGTGTAATTATATCTCTTGAAGAAGTGTCTGTGGAATGTTGTTGGGAGTGTTATCAAATTGTGGCTGAACTTCATTTGCTTTCATAGCCCCACAACTTTGTGTGTGAGTCAGTTGGTTTCGCATCAAGTGAAAGTCGTTCAATAAATAAATTCAAAGGCAATTACGACGAGGTGGGTGATGTTTCTCATAAGACTAACACTTCACTTACACTGCGAGCATGAGTTCAATGGAGATAAAAAGAAGTGATTGACCTCTATTGCAATATTATTTTGCTTGCAGCAATATTTTGCACAGAAGACAGGCGCAGAGTGTTTGCTCATTGTTGCCTTTCTACCATTTATGAATTGAGGTGAATATTCTTGATGGTACATTACTATTCATTTTGCTATTGTCGTGGCAGAAAGTGATGTTTTCTGTTCATCCTTGCATTCTTTGCATATTATAGATAAATTAATTTCTCCTGCACTTTCATGCACACACTCAATCATCAGCGAATGTTGGAGCAAAAACTGACGCCAAAAGACAGTCGATAAAACACTGGATGACAGTGAAAATTTCTCTTTGCACAAGAAGGAACTTGAAAATGCAGATAATGACGAATTGGTCAATGAAATTAAAATTAAATGCACTTAACATACAAAAGCGGGATCAATGTGAGAAAGAGAGAGTGTGAAGGTTGAAAATGCAATTTACGGAGTACTTTTAATGGACAACCAGTGTGTAAGGAAGGCGGAAAGTCGATGGTTTTTTTTTATGATTTACTAGGGAGAAAGAGAAATTTCGCGAGACTCTTATTGTCAAGGTTGTACTTTATCATCAATTTTGCGAGATGCTGAGGAGACTTTCGCGACGGTGCACTTGAAATTAGCAAGACAGTGCTGAAAAATGATGTGGATTGAAGTCAAAAGTGAAGCCAGAGAAAGAGGTGAAATTCTTGCATAGCATATTTCTTATCGATAGAAAAGATAATTGTAGCGATGATTGACAAATTGAGGAATAACTGAATTGTTTTGACCTATTTTATCCGTAATGTATTGCTCCGATCGATTTGTTTTGACACTCCCTTTCTTTTCTAGTTCGTATTGTGTGTCGTTAAAGCACATTCAGTAAATCTTTTAATTATTTAATAGCGCACATAAGGAGACTTTTCATAGCAAATTGAAAAGTAATTGTCAGAAGAAAATTCAATTAAATGAGACATTAAAAACTCATACAAAGTGTTTATATGTTCTCCACAGAACATGTTTATTCTTTCATGCATTATCATTGTTTTAGGAAGCGTTTAACTGGTCTTAATTAGAAACAATTGCTACGGAAGCTTGAGAGAATTCATAATGAGTCAAAGAGGAAGAAAAATACGCAACTTACCGCGAAGATTCGAGAGATATGTATTAAATGATTGACAAAAGGTATCAATAGAATGAATAATCACTGGATGAAGTCCAAATTAAGAAGCTATTGAGCGATGAAGTACTACAAACTGCACGTTAATAGAGCAACTTGAAAGACATTGGTTTTCTTAATAGTTGCTGATGCTATCTGGCTTTAGGGCAGCGCTCTCATCAGGCAATCAATCAAACCCAGCGATTAGTTATGACTCTTTTTCTCACCAGTCTTTTTCCCCCTTAATTATTACTGCTGCAAAGCGTGCCTTTAAAACACTTACGCACACTTTTTTCTATGCCGAACTTGAACATATTCAAGCTTTTTGTGTTGGTACAAAGGCATTTTTTTGCTGTGCTTTCAAATTAAAATGTCACTGAAGGTGCAAAGTGAAATCAATAAGCATTTTATGACAAAGTTACTTGTTACCACATTTTGTGGATTAAAGTAGTGACTAAACAAGAGCAACAAAGAAGCGTTCTGCAGTCTTATTTCGAAATTTTGCATTTAATTGATTTGACAATTTTTTTTTCTTCCATCGTTGTTGATCTTGTGAACTCAAACAAGGTGTTGTTATTTGCTCTGCAAGCATCATGTTTGATGACCAACACATTTGTTGAGGTGGAGGAAAAAGTAAAAGTGAGAGACTTTTGAGACAATTTCGCAATATGCGGGATTTATGGTAAAGAAAAAAAAAGATCTTTCGTTGACTTTTGGCGTGTGAGCGAACAACGCTGTGACGGTGAAAAAGAGATAAAACAACAGCGATTTAATCATTTAAATGAGCACTGATGAGGGAAAGGAAAAAAATATTCTTGGTGGAATTTTTTCACGACTGCGCGTTGGTTCATTTTTCATTGAATGACGACTCCTTTCGATTTCTTGACCAATTGACCAAATTTGTAAATTACAAATATGTTAATTCAGTAATTGAGATCATTATCTTTTTCCTTTTGTTGATTGTCAAATTTAGTGATTGTGGAAAAAAAAATTGAGCCTCTCGGCGCAATAGAGATTGAGATAAAAGATCAGCAGAGAAATTTGGATGAAAATCGTCTCCAACTGTGGACGGAAATTGAAAGAGAGAAGTAAATGATGAAATATTCCATGGAAATACAAATGAGTTACATTAATATGCTCATGGCAAAATGCAAAATGGAAAAGATGCTGAGGAATGAGGTGGGAAAAAACGCTTCTTTTGTGTACCAAAGATGTTTGGCGGAGTGTCTTTCGGATGCTTGCATAATAGCTTTTCACCTTTTCGCGCGCGCATTGTGAGCTTCGGAAGGCGGTTGTCTTGATTTGAAGCAATCATTCGTGAGATGATCGCATCTCCATTGGTGGAATAGACGCGGATCCCAATGGGAATTTCTTGAGTGTTTACCAATCTCTTTGAGTGTCTCGATTGTTGTTGACGAATTTTACACTGAAGCACCTCAATTAGCATAAACCGTACTTCCCTATGACGTGAACTTGAGGATGCTTAAATTGGCTGAAAGTCAAGTTCACGAAGTATTGTCTTACCATTTATTGGTGGTTGTCTCATTTCCAGATCCTTGTCTATACATCATGAGATTTGCCAATAAACTGGAATTCGGCGAGAAAACCCACGAAGTGTCGATGACGGCGCAGCGTTTGGTGCAGCGCATGAAGAAAGACTCCATCCACACTGGACGCCGACCGTCAGGCCTCTGTGGAGCCGGTGAGTGAATCTCTGACCTCATGCGATCCAGAGAGCGTGACATTAGGTTTCGTGGGAGATTTTCGGCAAAGCTGAAGGTGGAAGCCGGACAAAAATGATCGGAAATCTTCAATTTGAGGGATTATTTGATGTTGGAAAAATTGAAATAACCTTTGAAAACGCTGTATGACCTCAGCGGTAATTTTCATTAACTTATCGCATTTTTAATACCAATCAAAATGCCATGTTCAGTGGCATTTGGCGCAGAAAGCCCAGGAATATTGAGAATTATTTATCTATTCAAATTTAGAGGCCGTAAAGAATATTATATATTAAAATATGCAAAAACCTATAGAGAAATTTAATTATGACTGAGCTGAGAAATTCCTATAGAGATCATTTGTCGTTTCAGCTCTCCTGTTGGCCGCCCGCATGCATGAGTTCAATCGCACCCCGATGGATGTTGTGCGGATCGTGAAGATCCATGAGTCAACGCTGAGGAAGCGTCTGCTGGAGTTCGGGGACACGCCGAGCAGCGCCCTGACGTTGGAAGAGTTCATGGCGGTGGACTTGGAGGCCGAGCAAGATCCGCCGGCGTTCAAGGTGGCTCGGAAGCGAGACAAAGAGCGCATTCAGAAGATTGCCGAGAACGAGGCGGAATTTACTGCACTGCAGAAGGAGATTGACGCTCAGTTGGACAAGGATCTGAAGAAGTCAAGCAAGAAGATCGTGGTGGATTTGGCGGGGGACAATCTGGAGATGACAGAGACCAGTGATTTCATCCACCAGTCGACGCTGGATGTGATAAATGAGTGCTTGACTGACGATCCCAATGAGTTTGGGCTGAATGTCGAGGAGGAGCAGATTCAGGGCATTGGGCCGGACATCGAGGCGATGTGTGTGCCCACGCCGAGGGAGAGTCTCGTGGACACGGGCAATTTGCTGGCGGACGGCGGAGAGCTGGACGAGAGTCTGGTGAACCTTGAGGATGTGGATGACGATGAGATTAACGGGTATATCTTGACTGAGGAGGAGACGCGCATGAAGAATCAGAAGTGGGTTGAGTTGAATGCTGAATACTTGAATGCGATGAAGCTGAAGGAGGAGCGATTGGCCAAGGAGCGGGAAAAGGGGAAGCCCGAGAGGAAGCGTCGCAAGGTGGTGAAGAAGAAGAACATCGGTCCGTCCAATACGGCTGGAGAGGCGATTGAGAAGATGCTGCAGGAGAAGAAGATCTCCACTAAGATCAACTATGACATCCTGAAGGCTCTCACGGCGCCCAAAGCGGATGAGCCGACACTGAACACTGACAGTGAGACTGTCATCAAGCAAGAGCCCGTGGAAATCGCCCTGCCGCGACGGAAGAAAACTAAATTGTCCACAACTCTCAATGTTTTCGGACTGAGAAAGGCTCGTCCAATTCCCACCGCCACTATTAACACCCACATTCCGGAACCGGAGCCAGTTGCAGCGCCTGTGATTGAAAATGGTACCCGGAATCATAGTGAAAAGGTTGAGAAAGGCGTTGAGAACTCATTTGACTGTTTTTTCTTTGCAGATCCTCTGCCTGATGAAGCTGAGGAGGAACCTGAGATGGAGGCTGAGGTTGAGCACGAAATCGAGAAGAATCCCGAGCACAGTTCTTTGGCTGACATGCTGAATGGGGACGAGGAGGATTACTATGGTTATGATGATTACTAGTAATAGTTTTAGGGCTAGAATTGTATTAAATTAGGGTATGTTTGGCAATTTTGATGCACTGAAGGCAAAAAACACAACGAGAGAAATTATACATAATTATCTTTTAAGCCTTTTAAGTTATTTATGAAATTATAAATGAAGTTTTTATACAAGAGGGTAAAATAATGTCATTTTAGATTTGAATTATTTATTGCAATAGAAATAGAGTGATAAGAAAATGAATAATTGCTTTTAAACTGATAAAAAATGTTTTTGGTTTATGCTGAAACATTGTTGAAATCTTGATTAAACACGAAAATTGATGCAGCAAGAATGAAACATGGAAATACACGATTGATTAAAATACCTGAAAATTACATAGTTTGGAATATTTTCTTGAAATCTTATTTAACAGCCTCCGAGAATATTTATTCTATTGGAATTCAAGCTTTAAATTGAGTTAGTTCTACCAAAAATCCCACCGCCGTTGAACAAAAGCGAAGAAACTCGCATTTCTTCCATTTCTTGACTCATTTGGAAATTACTACCAAAATTCCCAAAATCCGTAATACTTTCTTTCAACACAGGCCACAGAAATCATGAGAAATTGTGAAATGCCAGAATTACTCACGCTTTCCTAAGAACTCCCTTTCCCTACGCTGGGGGTGGAAATTCCGACGAAAGTCACTCGACGCAAACTTGTTCAAACATGATCAAGTGACGTCACTGACTCTTCGCTTCGTCAGCGCGCTCAGTTCGCGCATGGTCTTCATTGCGATCGAATCATTGCCCTAAAGCGCCTCGAAATTCTAATTAAGTGCGGTGTGATAAGCGATATCAAGATTCCAGTCTGCTTTCTGAATTGGCGATTATCAATTTGGCAGTGAAATGGTGGCTCTTGAAGTGTTTACTTGGGTGAAAATGAGAGTGCGGAAAAGTGTGTCTTTGGGAATGACTTGCATTGAGACTTCAGAGACGACTCACGAGTTGTGTGCGATTTCCTAAGTTTGTGCAATATTTGGGGGAAATTGATGTGATTTGCAGTATTATACTCAGTAAAACGATAGACTTGCCAAGTTATTTAATAGTAATTTATCTTAAATAGTCGAGGGAGGCTAAGAGACTAATTTATTGAGTAGTGTAAAATGTCCCGACCGAAAAGGGGTTTTTCCACGATGAATGCGCGACCGGCTGTGCAGTTTTGTAGCGAGAAAATGGGCAGTGGTGAGGTGGAACTGACCATTAACAATTGTATATTCCGATCCATGGAAAATTGCATGGCAAAGCGACTGAAATTGGAGGAAAACTCTGGGTGAGTAACAGAAAGTTCAAATGCTCGTTGCGGCGCCAGCCATCAGGGGCGCTGGTGGCGCGGCGAAGTGTTTTTGAAGTACCAGAGCGCGAATGACATTTCGCCGTGTCCGCGGACATTTCTCGAGCGAGACAAAACACATTCTCAACCAGTTCGAGTTCGGAGTTGAAAAATGATAGAAGCGCTTCTGACAAGTCTCTGAGAGGAGCTTCACTTTTTTGTGTGTTGGTGGCGGAAAAGATCACTTTTCTCTGTGAATTTTCACGGAAATCCAGTCAATCTTGACGCCAGAGTTTGCAGAATTGCACGGGAAGATGCGTGAAGTTGTGTGTTTTGGTCAAATAGCTGGGCATGTGGCATTATTTGTGTAAATCAGCTCGAGTTTGTGCGCGACGAAACAAAAATGTCGTCACAGTGAGGTGTATTTTGAGTGTTTGACAAAATATCTGGGCATTTTCTGTGTTGTCTCCGTGTCGTGGAGGTACCTTTTGGGGCACTTGGCAGTGAAAGCGAACTAGGGAATCCGCACGTAGTGCTTGTCGGTGGGAAAAGGGTTGTCGAGCAAGTGTTCTCCGTGGTGCTCCATTGCCTGTGGCGGAGGAATTGCATATAGTTGCCAGTGGAGGAAGCACAGCCAGTCACAATTTCGGATAACAGCGAAGCGATAGGATCTATTCAGGAACTTGCAGAGGAGCCTTCTGCCAACATGGTGAAGCGGTAAGGCGACCACTTGCTCCCAAAGCCACCATTTGGCACGTGAAAATGCGAAAAATCCAGTGCCAGACAATGGCGAGCAGTCATTGTTTACATCCCTTCTTTGTGTTTCATCGCCGTTTCGCCCTTTATGCGTTGGGGGAGACATCTCGCTGTGTGGGTGCCTTTCTCTCTCACTCTGTCTCCCTGCGAATGCGGGGGTCTTATTGATTTCCACAGTCAGCGCTCTCGGTGGCCCTCCAGCGGAGAAACAGCCCCACATCGCGCGACTTTTCCTTTCGCCGCCAAACATAAATCACAGAAATTTCGAGAGGAGAAGAAAAAAATATCTTTTTGACAAAACTGTGAGTGTGTGTTTGAGCAAAATGCGTAGTTTCCAATGAATAATTCATTGAAAGTCTCCTGTGCAATTATATTCTTCTGACTTGAAGTGCGCATTTAGCAGAAATGCTCGCTTGTTTTTGTCCGTTTCGCAATGTTTGGGAGGAAATATTGATATTTACACGCTCTTTGTGTGTTGTTTGGTGGCAAGAAAGTGCGAGAATCGATACAAATTGATCTCTTTGACACATGTCAAGAGTTCTTTAATGCCTAGTTGAGTTAAGAGGGTTAAAGGAAATGAAATTCCTGGATTATCTAATGTTTTAGAAAGGGTTCTAAGATCTCTAATACTCAATCACTTGAAATTTAAATAAATGCAATTTTCTGGTCTTGTCTTTCTGAACATAATTCTTCAATTCGCCCTTTTAGAAAACATGCCAACAAACGATGTTAAATAAGAATTATTCTGGCTCTTCTCTCTCCCCAAATGCTAAAATATTGTGTGACAGAATCTTCAATTGGGGATGTGAAAGGAGGGATAAAATTGAAAATGCTGCAGATTCAGTGTGCCAAAGAGGGCAAAGTTGGGAGGGAAGAGAGATAAATTTTAAGGAACATGTGGATGGAAAAGTGATTGGCATTTTTTGGTCGGAAAATCGCATTCAGACAAGTGTACAGATTCCAATCGATTGATGTGTGTGTGCCTGTGGATGGGCTGCAAGGGGATTCGTTCAGGACATTCTCTGGGGCGAATGTGTTTTATAAGCTTTCTGGGTGTCCGAGAGAGACAGGAAATGAAGCAATTTCTCTTGGAATCCAATTAGAACTCACATTCAATTGCATTTTATTTACAATATTTTAGAGAGAGTTTGTGTCCTTTTATACTGTGTTCAGAAAAAAAAACCTTGTAAAATTCTCTGAATTGTATGAATTGATGGAATTCCGAGAAGCTGCTGAGGAAGGTTGATTGAACTGTGTGTGTGGACAGGAAATTGAATTTCTTTCCTGAATTTGAGAGAAGCGAATTGGCAAGAAATGTGACGGATTTTTCTTACTACAATTTCTCCACCACTTCCAATTAGATGGATTTTTTTCTGTGACCATTTTGTTGAATCTGAAATGAGATTACTTTTGCTAATTAATGCAGATAAAAGAAGAGTTTCTGTGCCAAATTAGTCTGAAATTTATATATGTTTGTCGCAGAATTTTTTTCTATCTAATTCTGATTTATGTTCTAAAGTTTTTTTTATATATAAATTATAACATTTCTAGATACAAATAATGGGTTTCAACTTGAAATTATGATCTTGAAATTCTCCGTGGAAAGAAGAAAAAAAAACACTTCCAGGAGCGCAAGAATTCAAGTGCAAGTTCAAAACAATTTTTTTCTGTACTGAAATTTAATGTTGAATGCCATAAATATTGGTTGTAACATGAAAAATAGCCTTTGGTATTGTGGTGAATTCGAGGAAATTTCCAATCGATGGGGAAAATTGATCCCACTTAATCGCTAATGTGCCATGCATGAATTTTTCAGTGAAATTGTGTGTGGAGATTTATACGGATATTCGTGGAATTGAACAACGCGCTTGGCGATTTCCCATGGAAAATGTGTCCACGTATTTTCTGTATGTGTGGCTGGCGGCAGTTTTCTGTGTTTGAGAGAAATGAGGTGGGAAATGCACTCAGGTGTGGCCAAAGTGGTGAATTTATTAGATTCATTTGGGGTTGAATGTCTCCTTCAGTTTGTTGCACTTAATCTCCTCAGACTCTATATTGCACACCAGAGAAATGACACTTGATACTTTATGACGAATATATATTTTTGGCCTTTCCGCTCCTCTAATGCTTTTTGTGGCTATGCTGAGTGAAAATTTAATACAGAAGGCAGCTGTTTAAATTTAATGCGGTGGGAAAGGCGTCTTTTTTTTTGAGTGTTAAATCACCTCAATATTGAATTTCATTGGAAGATTATCAATATGAAATTCTACCGTATTCGCGGCGAGAGTTATCAAGGAAAAGGTTAACAACCGTGAAGGTAGATTTTTGATAAGATTTCTTCAAGTCTCTTTCTCTCTCTCTCTCTCTCCTCAACTTGTTTCTGCTTTTTTTCGATGCTATTTATTGTAGTGCCGCGACGTGGGAGAGAGGGAATGAATAACGTGAGAAGGTCGTAAGGCTAGGAAAGCTCGTCTTCTTGGGTGAAAGAGGAGACAGAGGGAGAGAGAGGAAGAGGTGAGTCTGCATTGGTTGATGGATGCGGAAGATGAGGACAAGTGCAATGAGAGAAGCCTTTCTGGCCCTAAAGTTGGCTACATTGGTGGAGATGAATCTGAGTGAGGTGTTTTCTGGCTGTATGGAAAAATTAATGCACAAGTGAATGTATGGCAGAGTTGAATGATTTATCGTGTGTTGGTCTTTGAGGCACCTTTAGAGGAGACAGACATGGATATATGCGGTCCGCAGTACGCAGCATCGGGGCAGAAGAAGTGGAGAATAGAGATAGAAGAGAGGGAGAGAGATGGGAATTTCATCACAAGAATGGGTTCCGCAATTGCGCGCAGTCATGAAGCAAGTGAACATGGTTGTTCCCTATACGTTTTGTGTATGGTCCACCGCAAGAATACACTCTCTCTCCTGACTGGGAGTTTTGATGGTGCAGAATCTTAGAGGAGGAATGGAGAGAGAGAGAGAGAGAGATAATCAAGAAAGATGATGATGCTTTGGTGATGTGGATGGCAAGACGCCCTAAACCACAAACCGGGAGAGATGGAGAGAGAGTGAGGCAAAATACAATTAGTTAATGTTGAAAATAGCCCAATGTGCACTGAATTTCACATTTAACTTCCAACTGTAACGCAATATTGACACATTAGAGCGAAATGTGGTTAAAAGTTTACACGCTAAAGATGCGGCACAGAACAAATCCCATCCGCAAGCATGATTAAGCAGTCTTCCCACTGACCATGACACCCATGAGTTTGGTTGGTTTTCCACAAAGAACACCGATGATTCAATGGAAATGAGTAATTTATCTCAATTACATGCCGCCAACATTTCTCACGAACATTTTGCATATTTATCCCTATCAATTTATGAGATGACATGAAGCATTTATGCAGGAATTTATCAATAAAACAATCGATAATTGCGGGGTGCAATGTAATGTCACCATTTAGAGGTAATAAGTGTGACATTACTCAAATGCTTGTTGTTGCTCAATTGCATCTTTTTACGCCACAGTGTGAAAAATTATGCATAGTTAAATGTTATGTACAAATTTTTGTGTTTCTTTTTGCAAAAGGGATGTGAAATAGATCTTGCAAATTGGCTGTTTTTTACACTCTCTCTCTCTCTCTCAAAATGGGTTACTCATGTACAGGAAAATCTTTGGTCATTGGAAATTCTTGGAAAGTAATTAAGCGTGATGACAAAGTTTTATCTCTTCACAGTTAATTTATCTTACAAAGTCATAAAGGGAACAGTTCAATATTCATAGTCGAGGTTTGAAACTCTAAAAGGGTCGAAAAATTCCCTTTGAATGAGTAATCAATGTGTGCGCAATGAAACGCAATGTGAGAAATTTGTAGGTTTTGCTATGTTTTTTTTTTTCAATATTTGTAAGTATTGCAATTAATCCAACAAGTTGTATTTATGAATTTTGTTGAGTTTGTTTTTACGGTCAATGTGACCCAAATAATTAAAATGTGTGACTGATGTGAAAATTGCAAGAGTGGCAAAAAAAAAACTTCATCGTACCACTTGCTTTTTTGCTGCCACTGTCTACGCTACGCTACACCTTGATCTTGTGGTTATTTCATACAAATTTCACATACAATTTCGTCAAATGGGCATTTATGTATTTTTTCGGACGAGAAAAGCACCTTTTTTATGTTGAAAAAGAAAGGAAAAGTGATAAATGATGTTTTTTTTTAATGGGAAAAGTAAATCTGCCTAATGTGTATGTTTTTTGATACTGAATTTTGCCAAGTGAGGGAAAGAGAGATTTTTGTGGCTTTCATTACTTCATTAGAGATAATTTTCATAATTGCAATTACATAAAAAATACAGACAGTATAAAATTATGTGAGAGTGTGAAGTATGTGAGTGGCGTGGAGATTATAAGAGTTAATTTTATAGGGAGAAAATATGGATTTTTGATTGGTTTTTCAGAGGGATTTGTGGTAATGTAATTTTGTTATCTTCTTTTCACGTGCTGTTCACCTATTTCTCCTCATCTGCGGATGTAAGTGATATCCAAACAATTGGCTGAACTTCTCTATCTGTCTGCAGTTTGTGACGTTGGGGAGTTATGAAATTTTGCATGAATCAGCAATTTTAGTGGAACAAGAACGTCTCATGGCATTGCGTGATGGTCTGATGTGGGGGACTTTTGAGACGTGAGGGAGGGGTGTGTGTGTGACCCTCTGTGGTTCTCCGAGGATGAATGGTGGTTTGGGGGTGTCTGGTTCCCACACTAATCACACACACGGATAAATATAGTGGACGTTATTGCAATTTAAATGGAGAAAACTCGATTTCCTTCATGAGTCATTAATGCATAGAGAATCGGGGATGGGGTGAGAATGCGGTATGATTTTACCCTTCACAAGTGCAGACTTGGATATGTTCCAACAAGAAAAGCTTTTATATTTTCAAACATGCTAGCATTTTTCCCATGTTTCAAACCCCGAATAAATGTTTTGTGTGGGCTGGCAAAATACAGGGTTCGCTTGTGTGCTGAGGGTGAAATGGCACTCTAAATTATCGGGTGTTTCACTTAACATGAGAGAGAATATATATATTGCAAAAATGTTGCATTGCATTATACAATTTTATGCTTTCAGTGTATGAAACACCCGGTCGAATCTGCAATCTGATCGATTTGACCTTTAAAATTTGCGACTGGCAAACGCGTGTGAGTGTGTTTGTGTCTATGTTTCATGTAATGTGAATTATTTTGCGGAGAATCCAATTGCAATTAACATGATGAAATCGATTTAAATCGGCCATTTAGTCTCTCATGACCATTTGAGAAGGGGCGGCAAATCAGTGTAATGGCAAATGGGCGCCGGGGTCTCTCTCCTTTCATCTCTCACCTTTTGCTTGGCTCTTTGCAATCACCCGGACACAATTGTAAAATAAATGATTTTCATGCCTGATGAAAGTGCCTCAAATGGGACTCGGCGGACCTGAGATTTTCATGGCACGCCCGAGAGAGTTGTGGATGGCGATTTGTGGAGGGAATTCTTTATTGCAATTTTTCGTAAATTGAACATGTATTAATTTAATGCAATTTTCACTGTATAAAATTCTGCAGTTGAAAATTAGAAAGTGAAATTAGTTTTATAACTTTACCACATATTTTTTCCACTGTTGCTCATTGAGCAGACCTCGAAGTTTAAAAGGTCTATTATTATTATTTTCAATAAATTCGCCAGATTTTTTCCCGATAGAAAATTGAGAGAGACCAAAAGGTTGGGAATAGTTGTAAATTTATTGCTATTGTTGGTGTGTGAGAGAAATGAAAAATGACATAATGTAAGTGGATTTTTTTTATACCCACCCACTTGTTGATTATTATTCCCTTTTTGGATGCTTCGAAAGACTGAGTGGAAAGTTGTGCCGTCAGGCATTATTATTTGCCTTTTAAAATATCTTTATTAATTGCTTTGCATTTTATGTCAAGAGGAGATATTCTTAAAGGCGAGAAAATGAATTTCTAAAGCCTATATGCTACACGTTTCGTCTACGTTGCGGGACAAAGGTGAAAGGAGTCTTTTTTTTCTGTTGACTCACTCTAGAGCTGTTGAAATGTTTTGAATAGTGTGTGCACTCCAAATACGAATCGATCATCGAGAGGTGAGAGGCGAAAGAGAGGGAGGGTTATAGAAAAGAGTTCTCTCGTCTATTGTGTGCCTTTGCCCCAGAAGCCCAGTTTCTCTCAATGGTGTCTGACGTCGAGGCTGACCTAGAGAGAGAGAGAGAGAGAGAGAGAGAGAGAGAGAGAGAAAGAGTCAACGGGGTTGATTGACGAAATGGTGCAAAAATGTGGAAAAGTTCATGGGTTTTGGGTTGTCCAGTGCAAAAAACCACATTCTCACTATTTTGTTGACCATGCCTGTTGGAGTTTAATCGAGTTTTTCACCATTGTGACCATTTAGTGACAGGTTTCCAGGAAATTCACAGCACTGACCAATTGCTACCCCAAAATGGCTGCATTTTAGTCGGTGGAAATAGTTTTTTTTTTAATATATACACAGAGAGTCAATTCAGGTGTTGGAAAATGAAATTACAGAAGTTTGCTATGAATTTATTCGTAATTTTATTATTTAATTAATATTAATGGCTGTCAGCATGCCAATATATATTTGAATTGATCAGAATTAATTTATCCCCTCTTAATTTGAAATTTTTACTTACAAAGTCGGTCTGAATGGAAGCACATTTTGTGCGATAACATGCAATGAAAGACAAAATGAATGGAGAGAACTGCTGAGGGTGAAGGAATATAAGAGGAAATTTCAAACATCTGCTCATTGGTTCGATGGTTCAATGCAAATTATTCTATTTTTATTGATCACTTTCATTCATATGGCGCCGATGTGGCAATTTGAGGGGGCACATCGATAAACATTGAGGAGAATTGAAGGAGGGACATCCTCTTTATTTGCTCTAAGTCTCGCTCTCTCTCTCTCTCTCTCTCTCTGTCTTGCCATCCCTTGTCGGACAATTTCATGGCTTTCTTGACACCACGATAAACGTCTTGTGGTCTCGTCCATTGAGGGAATTAATGTGCAGGTGAAGGTGGTTAAAAGGTGTAGTTGCTAACGGTGCGCGATGGGGAGAAAGACGAAAAAGTCCATTTAATGGTAACAACACACGCGAATTGCAAAAAGTCTCAATAATATACAATTATATGGGCAACTCTTTTATATATTATTAAGTACTTTATGTGAATTCCTCATTTTTTTCTCTTCATTAGATTTTATATATTCGTGTTATTGAAGTTGCTTTTTTTCTCTGTCACTTCTGAGCTATGGTTGTTGCTTTTTTTCCTGGCATTTCGGCAAAAAAAACCGGCAATATTGTGGGGCGTGTATTTCTTCCCGTGTCTCCAATTTTGTCCGAAAAAAAGCCTACGAATTATTATTACGTGCTGTGATCTCAGAGAGCCAGGACATGGAATTGCGGTGAATAGCAATTTTGTGTATATGAAATGATGTCAATATATAGTTTTTTTTTCTATGATGAAGGGAATTTTCTCATTTTCCCAGCAATTTTTCAACTATGCACATAACTTTTTTCTACGCGTAAATGTGAAAAACCTGCACTCGACAAATTGTTTTTCCACTTCCTGCTAACACTGACGAGTGGAGAGACAGTGATGAATTAAAAACCCGGATCCTGATTATGGGGAGTATTTTTTTTTTAATAAGTATCTTTCCGTATACGGGAAGCCTAGCTGAATATCGCACAGACACAGATAATTCAATTAAGGACATGCTCTGTTAATTCGCAAAACAATCACCTCAAAGCGCCAGCAAATTGCCAACTGTCAATAAAGTTGTTATACTATATTTGTACATCGTGTGAGACATGGTCTTTCTCTCTCACTTGCTGTTGTTTGCCAGAAGTGCGAAGAGAAAAATCGCCAGCATGAATAAAATATTAAACGTGTGGGCCTCATGATGGTAATAATGCAATGGAAAAGATATGATTTTTCATTGTTGTGCATTTGAAAAATGCGCAAGACTTCTCGTTAGTCGTTCTTTTTTTTACTTGTGAATGATAAAGTATTCTTGTCCTGAGTTTTCCTTCTGTGTGTGTTTTTTTTTTCATATGACTCAATTTGAAGTTTCCAGACATGTATAATTGCCATTGTGAACAGTATCCATGCACTGGAGCTTCAAGTTTATTGACGAGAGGAGGAAAAATAAAAATAAGAATATGAAAAGGCATTGTGAAAGAAAAACCTTGCTTTTTGCATCGTGTCGCAGTTTTTCTTGCCAATTATCTGACATTTTTTCACAAGTTCTTTTACAAAACCGTAGTTTAGATGTGTTTTTGTCTGAATAGAACGACTGTTGAATGGAGTTGAGTGGAGGAGAAGAGAATGAGAGTATTTTTTACCCTCGATACGTGTTAAAGACCTCACATGGGTTGATGTTTGTTATCAGATGAAGACAGACGGCTGAAAGATATCACCTGATGGTGTGTCTATATTTATAATTAATCAGTGCAATGAAAATATAAGTGTAGGCAATACAGCTGGGGGAGATTAGTGGGGAGTGAGAGAGAGAGAGAGAGGAGTGTGTGGAGAAAGAACAGGAGGCGTAAGATTAGACTAATTAAAGAATATGACCATGAAGTGGATAAATAAGTGACTCAGATTACTCACAAATTGCGATATGATTGTATACATTTGGCGAATGAAGGGAGGTCATCACTCTCTTTGTTAAATAGTAATGCACTACAATGAAAGCTGCAATTACCTGTAATTTTTAATTCTCCATCTCTCACTCCTGTGATTGCCTCAGTCAATAAGAGCAAGTCTCTATGGTGTATTGCATACTTAATAAGCAATTTGTGGAATATTGTTTATCTGCATTCTTATTAATGGTTATCTTTTCTTTTATTCTCTTTACAGCACCGACGGTACAGAGTCTCCGATTTTGGCGGAAAGTGACTCCGACAAGCCAAAAGTGAAATACGGAGAATTAGTTATTTTAGGGTAAGTTTTATGCCTTTAACAGTTAGTGAATTTTGAGGTGTAGAAGCAAGATGGGTTATGAATTTTAATTATTATGTACGTGAGAACAGCGAAAAACAATTAGGAGTGTGCCTAAAAGGGTCTGAACTAGAAACAAGGTGTAAAAGAAGACACAAACACACACACATGAATGTGTTTTTCTTCCTAAGATTATGTAGAACAAGGTGGTTAAAGTAAAAACTTTTATAGAAATAAGATTTTATGACAAGTAGTAAAGGCGCGCGCTTTCTTTGAAAATGACTTGTATGCAAAACACAATGAACTATTCGATGATTGCAATAGTGCCACCAGAATGTTTACGGTATTGGGTAATTTTGGGTGTAGTGTAAAAGCCCTCCACACCCATGCCCCTTCTCTCTGTCTCTTGCATGTGCCGAAAATAAATACACACAGATTCATTGTAATACTTTTGGTGTGAATTTTTAGTGATAAACTTGACAAAGTATTTCATGGTTGCAAACTGAACTATAATCAATTTACATGCGATCTAGCGGCGAAGCACGTATGAATGCAATAATATATTTTACGAATAGATATTGCAGAGGGAAGCTAAAAGTGAGGGAGAGAGAGAGATGTGAAAAATGGAGGTGAAATATAGAATGTAGAAACAATATTGGGTGTCGAAGGAGCCACGATCCATGGAAGATGGAAAAAGTTGTATATAAAATGTTCCATATGGTGTGCTATTTAGCGGTTCAATAGTGTGGCATAAAGGTGAATTGAATGGAGTTTATCATATATAATATTATGGCACACATCTCTCTTTCTCTCTTGACTGAAATCGTTGGTGCGAATTAAACAATTTCAACGGCGCTGTGCTCAGGGAGAATACATGTCGAACGATTATAAAGTTAATTATTCTTTTCAATACCGTTGCTTGTGTTTTGCGTTGACACATAAAGGCGACAGGAAATGCGCCCAACCATCCGACGAGGAGAGTGTTTAGATTTCTGGTCAGAAGTGGGGCTTTTGACCTGCATGTGTGAGGTTGCAGAGAGAGAGAGAGAGAGATTCACTTGTGTGGCTGGCTGTGGCTTGGCTATTTGTTTGTTTGTGATTTTCGTCAGAGGAGGAATTTTATAATGGCCAGTCAATTGTGGAGATGGCACATTGATAAATTCCTCTGAATGACCACTTGAGGCTCTTGTGAGAGATTGTCCGTGGTTTCGAGCGAGAGTGACAACAATCAATAATGAAAATGAATATTTTTTTCTCGATTTATTTAATGAAAGTAAAATAGTAGGAGGAGAGACACAATGACAAAGAAAATATTATTCAGTGTGTTTGTCTCTCTGTGTTGTCAAATATTAATCTTCGTTAATCAAATATCAAAAATGTTTTTGTCTGAATATATTTCTTGTCAAATCTGACGATGGAAATTGTTTGGAATCAAGTCAATCCATTTAATTGGTTACAATTTCGACAGGGATTCGCACTGTAGGATCAATTGGCTGAATGACACCCTCAATGATATGACACATAAAATCCCTTTAGCTCGTCAATATGATGGTTCTCTCGATGAGGGTGAAAGAGAGTTGAGTATCTCACGTTGAGAGATTCGGAGGGATTGGAAATTGAGGAGTCAATTCGTGACGCTCACTTTGAATGGTCGTCATGAGATTTGGGCATTTGGCCACGGGAAATTAGATTGTTTTATGGCTTCACCAAATGCAATACTGCGAGATCATATTCGCAAAATATTGCAATATTGACCCAATTCACTTGAGAACGACAGAGAGATTGTATTCCAGTTATAAACCATATAAATTCTCAGTATATGATAATGAGGTGTTTTTTTTTTGTCACGCGGATTTAGAAAGTTTCGCTTCCTCCTTCTGTTTACGGTGACTCTTTTTTTCCGTGGAGCCCACGATGATAGAACACACGGAAATCTATTTTGACTATTTGGTGGGTGTCAATTTTAGATCACACACAACTCACACACAAGAGTCATGCTTCTTGTTTCATGTTCACAATACATGTCCAATTTGAAAATCAATTGAGTTATTCGCATTTTAATTTGGCAAATGGGATGAATTGAGGAAAAATGCAAATGTGACTGGTGAGGTCGTTATCCCATATTTTGTGTGTGGGACACATTCAGACGCTTTTTATTGTGGCTTGTATCTATGGCTGTATAGCCTCTCTATTGTGGTGAAGCTATATTGGTGGAAAATTGAGTGAAATTGGTAGGAAAGAAGTGTAATTTTATTTTCTTTTGTACAAGATGATTTATTTTATTGAATCCTCGATGTAAGCTATTCAGTGAGAATTTGAGAGAGAGAGAGAAAAAAGTCATCGAAAATGGATTACATTTAATACGGATGGTTGATGAATTGTAAAAGAGGCTTTGTCAGTCAAATGCTGTGCATAGAGTGAGACTAATTCGAGACTAATGGGTATTAGTGGAGTTTAGTGCTTTACCAATTGCATTGTATTGAGAATTTCACGTTCACTTCAAACACAAGTGTTTCTCAAATATATTTTTGTCCTTGACTTTAGAATGAATAAATTAGAGGAGAAAAAAAATATGCTAGTTAATTTAGAATCAATTGTCAATTGTACAAAGTATTCTTTTACTGTATCTAAATATCTTATTTGCTCTGGCTCTCGATGGTTGGGGAAAAGTGCGGGGGAAACAAGTGAAAAACATGCAATTTGAAGAGATTTTTCTCCATTAGATAAAGTGAGGGCATAAGAGAGAAAGATTGTTGTGTGTGCCTGGGAAGACATCGAATGTGTACACTCTTGGAGTCTTAAAGATGCTGAGATTTATATCTTGTCTATTTCAATGTTTCTTGGAGATTACGGGCAAAATCGCTGTCGACGAATGTCTGAAGGTTTTGCTGTCAGAGTTTATTGCTTCATTGTGTTCCTTTTTCATCTCGATCTGTTTTTCCCCTCCTCTGTTTTCCACTCCTTTGCTGGATGAGCAAAGATTTATTCATAATTTTATTATTTCTTCATCTCTCCATATAATTTCAAGACGATACATATGGGCTATTTGCGTCGAAAGCGTGTGTGTGTGCACTTTATCCCTTGTGCCAGAGAGAGAGCGAGAGAGATTCCCTTCTTCTTTTTCAATTTCTCTCTATATTTTTGCAGTGGCAAAAAATTGTGTCATCATTGTAAAATCCCTCTAAAGTTGTATTTATGTGACAATAGAGATAATAATAATTCTTTATTGATACTGGCTTGATGGGAACGTGACTGTACTTGTTTCTCTAATGGAAGTGGATGGCTATTTTTGAAAGGTGGTTGATATTTATAGGAATTACAATGAGGTAGAAACAATGGCAATTACTTTTATTACACTGAAGTTAATTCAGTAATTCCTTAACAGTTGTTGCAATTGAATTCTTGGCCCACGAATTAAAATAATAATAATAAGTCAGGAGCGTCAAGAGAGATAGAGAGGTTCTTGTTAAGCTATTAAAAGCATGCACATTTCACATAGAGAGAGGAAAAAGCAAGAAGAGATCACGAAAGAGGAGAGCTTTGAGGGGATATCGTGTTGTATTCTTAGTAGATTCTCTGTGTGCACATGAAAAGTGAGAGAAGTGGAGTAAATTAGATGGTTGGAAAAATAGGAAAGACCATATGGGATGTAGCCGTATTGATGCATAGTTGTCAGAATTGTTTTGTATGCTCATTTGGATGTTTTATGGGGAGAAATTTATGGCTTTTGGCGAGAAGAAGAAAACTATTGGGTGTGAGTGAAATTGTTGTTTATTTTGAATATGAGAGGAGAATGACCTATTTTATACCAAAAGTAATATTTTGCATTCTTTGGCGCATCAACAATTCGTAGATATCGTGTAAAAAGTCATCAAAGAGTGTGTGTTTGAAATGTATTTAATGGGGAAAAGGGCGGTGTATATATTGGTTGCGTTTTACTTCCAATATACGAACGAAGGAGTCTTTCTCTTTGATATTTCCGAAGACTATGTCGTCACAATCAATAAGTAGTCAATTGGAATACGAAGGTAGCGTCGAATAAATAACAGTATTATATCAATTTTGCATTAAGTTTGACGAGAGAAAAGGAGTATACAATGTTGAGGGAAAACGTGAATGTCATAGGTTACGGAATAGCTGTATTCCACGCATCAATTCTTCCATATTTGTCTCTTCTTTTTTTCATTGTTGCTCCTTTCATCAATAATTACTAGCTATGATGCATGAAAATTCTGCAAGACGCCCTAGAGTGTCTTCCCACTTACATAAAATTTCTCTGGCAACATTCGTGATGATATTTTGAGGTCTTTCTCCGTCTCTCTCTCTCTCTCTCTCTTCTGTTCTCTTCCTGGGAGAAAATTGCAAGATGATGATGGTGTTGAATTTGTGGAGGAAATATTATAGTGTTGTTTGTGTGTGATTGATGCATATTTCGATTGAATTTCATCGTGTCTAAATGAATTCTATGAGTTTTTAATTCATTCCAATGTGTTAAATAATATTTCAATAAATTTTTTATTGGTTATTTAATAAATGTGAATGAGAATGAATTACAGAGAGGGTGAGAGAGAGAGAGAAAGGCATCACATAGAGATTCTTACATGGAAGAATAAAGAAAATTTTGTCAATGTTCTTTGTCGTAATGAGAATGTCATACGAGGTCGTCTTTTCCGCTTCTCTTGTGGTCAAAGTGTTTGTTGTATTGTTGGTCATAGTTGTGGAGGAGACAGAGAGAGAGAGAGAGACAGACGCACTTCTTCTAATTTAAAATTTAATTTATGAATTGAGAGCAGTCTTTAGCAGAGGCTGAGCGTGATGACAAGAGGGATAAATGCAAGTGACTGATGAAAAATCGCGTGAGTGTGTGAGAGTGGCTCTTTTCTGCTGATGGTGAGCGATGGTGAAATGAATGAAGTCTGTTTATTGCATTCTACTGCGAATGACGAGGGGATAAAATAATAAATAATCCCAATGCTGAGATGGGATGGAAGAAGAATCTCCTAATGAGGCCACGTGTCAATTTTGATATCAGCTTGTGGGCATAAAGAAAAAAAAAAACTCCGACACTCCGAACTATATTGCACAAAGCCCGTCATCCGTGAAGCGTGATAAGAAATTTTGAAACTCTTCTGGCCTTTTTCCTCTTCACACTTAATTAGCGACAAAGGGAATAATAATTTGATAGTGTTGAAATGGTAAATGGGGATTTTGGTGTCTTGAGCCATTTTTCTATAATACGAAAAAAGTATTTTTAAGGGTGCTAGAAAAGTGTACACATGATGCTATTAAGCTTTTATCATACGTGAAGCGCAGGATAGATAAATTTAGAGAAGTGTCATCTTAGTGGAATTATCTTGGGCGACACTTTTTTCCCGTTTTTATAGGCTTTTGAAATTTATAGTCAAAGAGGGTTTTTGGTTTTCTTTGCCTCTGACTGGGAGTTTTTTTTTTGACTTTTTTAATGGGTCTGGCTGGAGAGGTTGAACTGAGAAAGGAGCCACACAGATTATCGCCATAGAACATGTCTGAGGAAATTAAACGATATTTTTTGGAGACGATGGTATCCGGAGAAGCACAACTTCTTTTAACCCATTGAAGTTCATTTTCATAAGCCGAAATTGATGATATTTTGACCATACAAGCAATATTAATATCTATTAATTTTGATTGCGCTTGGAGTCTCTTGTGAATTTCTCAGATTCTCAGAATTCTGCTCATTGTCTCTGAATGGATATTTCTTGATTTGCCTGGTCTGGTGGGTTAAGAACATTTTATTCTATTGAAGCACACTTTGTAAGACAGTGTAGAAGAGTGAAAGAACACAAATTCTTAAGTATTCGATCCACCTGAAGAGTTTCACCGTCACGATGATCATTTCGGGCGATTCAATCTGATGGATTTTCAGAGTTTCTAATGGGGTATGAAGATCACATGGAGAGTGTATTAACTTGATGTTGATTTTTTTATTACCTCCGAAGCGTCCACTCTTGTGGCTGTTTTTTCTTCCCGCTCGAAGTCGTGTGTGTGTGTTAGTTGGGGGGAATTGATGTTGGGAAGAAGAGGGGGGGAGGAAAGATGATTTTACGCTAAATTATTCAGAGTTCACCAGCAGCCAGGAGGTAGAACAAAATATTGTTGTTTAGAGATGCCAGAGATCACATTTTGTTGCCCTCACACTCGCTGGCGTGTCTCGATGGTGTGTGCGCGCGCGAAGAGATTTTCAACGATGGTGTAACAACTCAAGAGAGTTGATGCTAATGATCCTCCAGAGCATCTTTTGAGAACATGTGAGCAACAATCAACTTCTCTCTTGCCATCACGATCGTCATTGTCTGTAAGATCATCCACTTGCCACTTCGGGAAGGCAAGACATCAGTCACGGCAGGAAGCCTTCTCGGGTTGTGTTTTGTGGTCAGGAAATGTATGAGTATGGGGAATATAACCAGTTTCGCTCTAATGGGTTATCTCGTCTGGAGTCTTTTAATGTAATTTCATTCAATTCCCGAGAAGTCCAACGATCATCTGTTGGGATGGGGATACTTTTGTGCCAGTTGGCATTTGTCCGTGAAGATTCTACGGGGATTGTACGTGTTTGGGTGTGTGTGAAGGGAAGAAGAGAAACATTGTAGAGTGTAAAGTTACAGAAGTTGGTCCACAGCGACAGAAATGATGATGATTGGTGTCTCTGAGGAGTTGACACAGTCTTCTGTCGCCTATAAAATGCACGAAATCTGTTAATTTAGAAATAATATCAACTGTGAACTGGATAATTTTCATTTAATTATGATCATTTTATGATATGAGCTTTGTGTGTGGGGGAAAACAATTTTATAATAATAGTAAGAAATATTTTTCCTAAGACTCTGTGAAGAAAACGGGGCAAGGAGTGAAAAGTGGGAGAATAGAATAATTGTTAGTTGTAAATGTGTCTCAATTTCAATGAAGATGAATGAATGGATGGAAAATTAAGTGAGAAGAAAAGTATATATTTCATTTATCAGCCTCTTTTCAGTTTCATTCCTCACAGAGTTTTGCGCACAGAAAGAGAGCGAGAGAGAGAGAGAAGAGCATTGTTGAAAAATATGAGGAAAAAAGTGAAATGGTTTTTTAATTCAATGATCAACGTTTTTTTTTCTCCTCACTCAGCATGTTGTGTTTTTTTTTCTTCTCTCTAACAATTCTTCTTGTCTTGTAATCAATTGCAGATACAATGGCTTCCTACCACAGGGTGATCGAGGTCGGCGTAAATCGAAATTCGTCTTGTACAAGAGAACAGATCCGAATGGTGTGAAGCGTTCCAAGCACTATATTGTTCAATCACCACAGACATCACAGGCGATCCTGGATACTAAGCAGCACTCGATCTCATACACACTATCCCGAAATCAGGCAGTGATTGTGGAATACAAGGAAGATGTAAACACCGATATGTTCCAGGTAGGTTTTCTCTTCACTCTCTTTTATTTAATAGATTCTGTCTGGAAAGGAGAGATTCGATGCACTTTTCGGAGAATTGTTTTGATATTCAATGCGCTGATGTGACAGTGAGGTTATCTCAAATTACAAGTTTTTCCTGGAAATTTCAGTCATTTGGCTGCTGTTTATTGGGGGGGGGGGGGGAGAAAAGTGAAATTTTCTCATGGTACGAACAATTTATTCTCATCCAATAATATTCATATGAGCAATTTAATGCTGTGATGATGATTTTGAATTGCAAAATTATAAAAATGACATCATTTTGGAGGCAAAACAACGTTAAGAGTAAAATGGTATGAGAAGATTGAATAAGAGAGAATGAGATTCTTACTGTTGATATCTCTTAAGATTTATTCAGAGTTTACAGTCACAGTCTGAGATTTTAAGACTAGTGTCTTGAGGAGAAATGTATTTTCTGAGTGTGCTAAGAGTTGCGGTAGGAACTGTTGCTTTTCTTGCAAATAGAAGAGATGTCTAGATGAAATGAAAAGGTGTGTTCTGTGTCAACAGGAGGGATTTGCGGAATGAGAATGAGTATGCGCTTGTAGGTAAGAAGCAATTTAAAATGGAAGTACTGCGCCGATGATATCACACAGGCTGAACGTAATATTGCCTAACAATTGTCTATTATAAATTACCTAAAGAAAATTTTCGATATGATGTCTTCTATACACTTCCCCTATAGAGGCAATAAAATACAATAATTATTCCATCATTGTAGAGGCCTTCTCGGTGCAGTACTCCAATTTGAAATGATTGCAGCAACAACTATCGCGAATTTTACATCGCGAAAGTCGTGACTTGATTGTCTCAATTGTAACATAATAGGGAAAACAAGGAGGAAGGTGATATCATATGGCTTAGAGCGACAGAGAGGGCGCGATTGAGGAGGGAGTTTTTGAGTTTTAGAGATGGAAGTTGGCGCGGCTTCGCATGACTGACGAGTCTTGTGGTTGTTTTTACCTTTATACAATGCCTTAAGATCTCTTACTGTGTGTTGTGCCCTCATATAAATTGGTGCTTGTGCACAAGAAAAAGTGATTGCTAAAATTGAACCACACAAACACACATGCATGTACTATAAATACGGCGTGAATATTACTAAGGGAGGGTGTCGTAAAGAAGAATAACGAATAAAATTTCAATTTGTTCGCATCGTGGTAAATTTAGAGGAGAGAAGACTTGATCGTGACACGATTTTCGCGTTAAAGCTTTTGGGAGTTTTGTATATAGCAGCAGCAGCAATCTTATATGTTTTAATACGCGAAAGACCTCACACATAAAATTTAATCTGAAATTGGCACCTTAAATGGAAATCAATGAGTATCTTGATGGACCTTTGATTGAGGTGATAATCGGGCTTTAAAAGCGGGAGCGATAAATGAAGAATGATAGCATTGAGGAGGAGAGGAGATACAAAGAACAATAAAAAAGGTGAAAGAATTCATCAGGTTCTTCACAATTTCTCCGATGGGTTGTGAAGAGAAAAAAAACAGTGCCCACGAATGAAGAGAATGCGCGCGCCTAAATTTAAAAGCCATTGTAATAATTTAGGTGGGTTTTGTGCACTGAATACATATACACTTTATGCTGATTAATTTGAATGCGACGCCGCCACCGCTGCGTCGTCAACAATCATCAAAACAATGGGGAACGGAAAAGAGTTATAAAATAAACAAGATGGGAGAAGAGAGGAAGAGTGTGAAAGAAAAAATTGTATATTTTGCGTATTAAATTTACACATCACAAGTGATTTGATCTCTGGAATTCAATGTTTTTTTTGGGTTAAAATCTCTCTGACAGTTCCTTTAACCTTCATCCCTTAATTCATAAATGGTCTTGTGATTTAATTTCGCAGCGAAAATTGCAAGAGTTTCTACTCGAGAGTGGCAAATTGAATTGATTTCCTCATTTGGAACTAATTTCTCTGGTCGCCTTGAAATGTCAACAGAGTTCTTTTGCACTGTGCAATTTGTTTGTGAGGCGTTGAGAATGGCGAAAGAGTGTGAAGAGGGAGAGAGAAACAGATGAAAAAAAAATGACAAAATTTGTATGTATAAAAGAAGCATTTAAAATGTGTCTCTCTCTCTCGGCGCGTCTGTACAAAGTGGGATGAGATGTGCTGGAGATTTTCAAGATAAAAACGATATTATTAAAGTGATTTTGGTCGACAAATGGGCGCCTAAGAGAACAATATGCCGACACGTTAGGTGGATTTAGCCGAGCAAACAAGGAAGCAGAGATAGTGGAGGAGTGTCGTCCAGAGATAGCAGATTTTTTCCTCTATAAAATTTATGATAAAATACATATTCAATGACTTTGGCTGAATATAATTCTTTGGTCTTTTACGCATTTCTGCGCAAGTTGAGTCTCTCTCTCTCTAATGTGTTACTTTATGTGCTGGAAAAGATGGAGAGGAATAATTAAGACCTTGTATTTACTTGATTTAAGCATTTTATTTTTGAAAATGCTAACAGAAAACCTAGAATTTATATCTACTTCAGTGTCTTTTCAAAGGTCTACTGATGAAGATAGTCGTAAATGTTTTATTTATCATTCTCACATGATAATTACCTTTGTTATTTTAGGCAACTTTATGGAAGACTCTATCTAAAATTATTTCATGTTTATATTGCAAAAATAAATATTATTGCGATTGCGACGTGAATAATTAATTAAACTTCAAAGGTTATAGTGATATTTTTGACACGCAAAATATGTGTGTCGATGATGTTTCGCGGAAAGAAAAAAAATATCATTATCAGGAAGATCAAATCCTAACTTTTATGACACACTTCTGTGAAGTACTTTAAACTGCTTAAAGAGACTGATAAAGGCAGAAATGGCATTTGTCTGAGAATGCTGAGTGAGTGAAGGAATCATAAGCGGAAGTGTAGTGATAAGAGGGACTTAAGAGTGCAGTTTTTACTGTTGATATGCAATTTTCAATCATTTCTCAAGCAAATGATTAGAAAAGATTTCTAGTGCTTGCACTTGAGTGTGTTTGATTTTCAATTATAGGTTTTCTGCCCAATCATGGAAATAGAAATTCACCAATGTGAGTTTTCACTTCACAATTCCGATTTCACGGTCAGAGAGTGCAACTTCCTGAGGTTTTGCACTGTGTGTGCAGGAAAAATCTGTGTGATTGAGCAAATCGATATTATTGTGTATAGAGAAGAAGATGGAGGAAAATGTGTGTGAGAGTATATAAGTAAAGTGGAACAAATCAATCATGTTCATCTTTGATATCATTCTCACATATCGAATTGCATACTTCCAGAACAAGTTTAATGAGAAAATGAAGTAAAATTTCACTTTATACTTCTCCCATATAACTTTCATTGATGTTGAAGTGCCACTTGTTGCTATTTCTTTTCAAATGCTCAAGTTCACTCTTGTACGGTACAATCTTCTTACTTTTTTCTGTATTTTTATAATATAAATTAATGCGCAGTCGTTAGTGGAATAATTTATATACATGAATGAGGATGGATAAAAGTGAGCTTCAGACTTGTTCTTAATTGCAATTGATGGAAGAAGAATAAAAGTGTATGTTGGATAATTTCCCAGAAATATTTTTCATTCTCTTGTTTTTCCAATGCACACACACACACACACAGAATATAGTATTTAGTTTGGAAGTTTTTCACATGTGTAGGATTTTGTAGCAAAGAATGGCAAGAACATGAGATTCACTCTGCGCAATGGTGGCGTCTTGTCTGGTATTGTGAGTGCAGAAGAAGTTGTGCATTTATAGTTTTTCATGCAACCCACAATCACTGAGGAGAGAGACACACACAGAGTGACTTTTGCGGAGTGCAAAAGAGTAAAACCACAATCTGAAATGGGTTAGGCCAAGGTCTGAATGGCGCAGAGTTGTTTCCAAACAGATTTTTCTCAAACTCCATCACACAGATCCGGTCTTTTTCTCCAATCACATGTTATCTCGCGATGGACTTTTTCTCTCTCCGCACGTTGTCAGGGCAAATATAGATGCGTGTGCGTGTGTGTTGATGGGGAAAATGTGGTTGATTATGCAATTAATGGATAATGTTGTGTGCAGACAAAATAATCCGACTCTGCCGACTGAAGCGTTAGTTGGAGTGTTTGGATGCACAGAGGGTCTCTGCCTTCTTAACTCCTCTTCACTGTGGCGTTGTGTCTTGTGCGCCACGTTGTTTGATGTATGCACATCGGATGCAGTGAGCGGAGTAACAATTAGCAATAACTTGGCGTCCACAATTCATTATATATGAATGGATAGTGTGTGGCTGTGCAGAATGCACTTCATATGAGGAGGCAATATTGCACAATATTCCAGCAACATACATATATATGTACATACAATTGTGTGTGCGGCTTTTCTGAATTTCTCTCACGCGCAGAAATGCAAGTGAATGGGATAAGATCACATGTACTGCTCGCGAGGAGGAGAGGGAGGTATGCTCGTTCAGCATGAACGATATGTTCAGTATAGGTGTACATGTCAACTGGAATTAATCGTTAGGTCAACGAGTCATTGTTGTTGATTGCATTATGGATCCATTATATACTCTTTTCATAAATGCAACCATTCCGAAGAAGGAAATGCAGTCATTTTTCATGTAACTTCTCTTATCTTCCAATTTTTATTTTTATTCACCTACACCACGTGTACACGAGGGCTCACGGATTCATTGACTCTTCTGGGTTGGGAACACTCCTTGGTGAGCCACACGAGGTGCAATAAAATATCTCTAAATATTCTTGGATTTTATTGTATGTATAATATAGTTGGGTAAAATTGCAAAATCTCTGGGCAAACACACGACTAGTTTGTTGAGTTTTGGGAACGTGGCAAAAGTCACACACGCTAAATGTTATATTCTGTCCTGCCGTGTCGTGTTAATTTCTCTCTCTCTCTCACTCTCTGGCTGCCAAGTAAAATCGGAGACTGTTTACTTGCAACTTGTGTTGTGGATTCTTTTATTAGAGTAGAAACAATTTACAATATTTACATAGTCTCGGAAATTGCATAATTGACTTGATGTTGCTGATCAAAGTTCATTTACTCCTGTTTATATTCCGCAATGTGAGAAGACATGGAAACGTGTAAAAGTTCACTAGAAGCCATATTCTTTTGATATTTATTCTTTAATTGAAAAGAAAAATCAAAGTTCTTGTTACTGAGGCAGAAAGGGCAGAAATGGGTGAAAGATTCCCAAGTTTTGTGCAATCCTGATCAGAGTCGTTTGTTAATTAAATAGACCAAAAGGAGAGACTCATGTCCATTTGATAGGGACATTTGAAATGTCATAAAAGTTTAAGAAACACTCCAATTGAGCTTGCGCTTCGTGGAATAAATAGAGGGAATAAAAGTGTAGCGATTTTATGGAGAAGAAACCGTAGAAGAGCATCAATCTTTTATCCACCTGTCGAATAAAGTCAATTTACTGAATTCACAAGAGAGTTTATCACTGGAAGAGACGCAGCTCATGAATAGAAGAAGTATTGTATATATGAAAATGCAAAGAAGTGTGATTTAAGTGATTGATCAATAAGCATTTTCTTTCTTTCTCTCTCGCAGGTTGGCAGATCATCAGAATCTCCCATTGATTTTGTGGTAATGGACACCCTGCCCGGTGATAAGAAGGACGCCAAGGTGATGCAGAGTACAATATCGAGATTCGCATGCAGAATCCTCGTGGATCGATCAGAGACCTCAAAGGCGAGAATATACGCTGCTGGCTTCGATTCCAGCCGAAATATCTTCTTAGGGGTGAGTTGAGGAGGAGAGTTTGTCTGGTACACAAAAGGCGAGGCAATATTTTCTGTATTGATTAGCACAATGGGTGGAAGTATTAAACTATTTCATGGCAATGTGATAATTGCTTCTTTTACGCCTCACACTGAGAAGTCACTGGGAAAAGAAAGGCCGGGCGACGGGGCGGAAAGTTGAGGGAAAACATTGTGTGATATTTCTAGAGTGTATATCGTTGACGTCGTGTGTGTATGTGAGATTTCATAAGATACGCGCGCTCTGGTATCGCTTCACCAAAAGTATGGAAGGGAAAAAAAAAGACAAAGTTGAAGAAAAATTAGTTTTATTTTCGTTGTATGTACGAGAAGAGAAAAGGCAACCTTTTAAGTGTCCATGTTTTTCCATCACAGTCAACATTTTCCTTCAACTTTTAAATGCTCTTTGCCGTCTTTTCTCTCCAATGCTATTTTTATCCTCCCAAAGTGTAATTGCATAGGATGATGACAAATAAAAGTGTTCAGGGATGGATTTGAACTTTAGATAGAATAGTGATATTTGTTCGTTGATTTCTCAGCACTTTCACGACCCTTTTTCTGTCTGCCCAGGAGAGAAAACTTTCTCAAGACTCAATTGTGTGTGGAGAAGTGAGTGACTTTTGGGAGTTTGTTGGGTAAACTTGTAATGCTCTTGTCTCATTACAAAAATTGATAATGAAGAGTGTGACATTGGAAGACATGCGTGGAAAAAAAAGGTGTATTTGGCAAGAAATTCACTTAATTGGGTTAATATTTTTTGTCTAATTGCTTTTCTGTGTTATAGTTTTTCGGTGGTTTGTGTTTTATGGCTAAATAAGCAGCAATTGTTAGCTAGACAAAAGGTGGAGAGGAATTTTCTAGTTGAAGTTGCCAAAATAGATCAAACTTTGGCCTTAATAGTAACTTTATATCTTGCTCTCCTTCTTAATACGATTATTACGTAAGTCTGAAGGTTCTTCTCCCACCCTTGGTGGCCGCATTCAATTGAAATTTAAAGTGCAAATCCACCATTTGACACCGTTCAACCCTCTTTTTTCCACTTTAGCATTTTACTGTGGTGGCATGGGTAATACGAGACATTTGTGTATGTTTTATTTTTCCAACATCGTGGACGCACGAAGAAAGTAGGTCGAGATTATGAGAAATGGTTGGATTAAATTGATTAGTCGATTTTCTCAACTTGTACTATATTATATCAGAAGTGTTTGCTTAATGGTCAAGGATAAGTCAGGGCATTTTCGCTGGATGGACGACAGAAAGCGCAAAGTTGAAGCTTTTAGTCTTGAAAAGGAGTGACTTTTTAATGTGTTTTTCTCTCTAATGTGACGCAAAAAGGCATCATTATGACTTGTATTTATATCAGTGTTTGCTTATGTGTCTGTGACAGAGACAGTTTTCTTGGGTAGATAACCAATTTTTACAGCACCCTCGAGTGAATTCTATAATAAATGGGTGGAGGAGAGAGAGAATTAGACGAAGGCATTAGTTGTTGGTAGTGAAATAGTTGTGATTTGAGATAAGAAGAGCAATTGTTGTAGTCTTATCATTTGCTAATTGCACTTGTTGCTTTCAATATTGCATAAGGCATTTATTAAGTATATTTATGGTTGTTTGTATGCACACAAAAAAACTACATGTGTTAATAATGGGGTCTAAAAATTACACTTAATCTCCATTCAAGAGTCTAATCGACAGTGAAACAGTGAACAAAGGTTCTCATTGTTTTTCATCATGCACTTCGTGTCTCTGGAAGATCAAGTGCCTAATAAATTTTATGTGTTGTACTTCTTTATTTTTTTTTGTCTTTAAAAATGCATTTGCCAGTGCATGAGAAAACACCTCATAAAGTTTTAATAATATCGATGTTTGTGAGTTGACGATTTCAGAGAGAGAAGGAAAATTTTATACTGTCTCGCTTTAATTTCCCACCCACAACACGATTTATATTTTTCCTCTTTCACTTTTATCGTTTGAATTTTCACTCTTGTATGAGGACATCAACGTGGTTTTCCTCAATGTGTGTAGGTTTTTTTTCTCTCCTTTTTCTCTCTTTCGTGAATGTTTAAAAAGAGAGCCTTTCCTGATAAATGATTTCGTATTTCTTTGTAGTGAAGCACAGCTCTCTCTGTGATGTCTTTTATTTTGCTGGGAGATGCTTTTCTGAAGATTTATCACTATATTCGTGAAATGGATTCACTTTGTGGAAATTACAGAGATAGAGGATGAAAACCTCTTTGATTTTTTCTTTCCTCTCTGCGCCAAGAGAGAATATCCACAACTGAATTATTCAAAGTTTTTCGTCCTTTCTATTTGCTCCTTTTTTTTGCTGATGGATTTTCCCAGAAGAATGAAAATGAATTGATTTTGTGTTTTAAGGAAGTCTTTGGATACTTTTTCTAAAGGGGAGTTCAAAGTTAATTGAACTGTATTAATCATGTAAACGGTTTTGTCACATTAATTGTCGAATATTGTACGACAGAAGTTACACCTCAATTAATTGTGCCTCTCACCATGTAAATTAATTAAATATTGTCTAATAATATGGATACAGTTGGATGGTGATTTACGCGGGCGCTTGCGTAATTTTAATATCAAAACTTTCTATATTGAGCGCATAAAATGGAGAAATATCAATTTGTGGGGGATGAAATAATGAAAAATTATTTGCGCCGTTGACGATAATAAAAGCGGGAGAGAAACAAGATCAATATTATTGATTTCTGTGGTGGGCATAAATTTATATTGTTTTTATTTCACCACTTATCTATTGATTACGTGCAATTATTCTGCTTTTAATTCACGGAAAGTGCACTTTACTTATCCCTGTAATTTTATTCTCTCTTGATTGCAAATTGGAAGAATGGAAAATTTATAGAAATAGCATAAAAAAACATGTTAGAACCGATAAAAGAAGCATGAAAAATTAAATATCGAGACTTTCAGTGAAGTCGAGAAGTGTTCATTAATGATTAAAGACTTCGTTACTATGTGGAGTGTGTCTATAAATAGTGTTGGAGACTAAAGAAAGCTCTTCCGTCTATTTTGTCTGTTTTTTTTTGCAGGAAAAAGCTACGAAGTGGCAGGACAATGTGGAAATTGATGGTCTGACGACGAATGGTGTCTTAATAATGCATCCTGAGGGCCAATTCTGTGGCGGCAATGCCAAATGTGGTCTGTGGCGTGAATGTTCAGTGGGTGGCGATGTGTTCAGCTTGCGTGAGTCGCGATCGGCCCAGCAGAAGGGTGTTCCTGTGTTCGATGAGTCCAATATACTGCAGGATGGGACGTTAATTGATTTATGTGGTGCTACCCTACTGTGGCGATCGGCCGAAGGACTCCACAATTCACCAGTAAGTCAACCTTCTGCGGAATTGCTTGTCTGACATGTTGTATTTAATTTTTACTCCACTTGTTCTCTCTCTTTCCTCATCCATTGCGCGCGCGCCTCCTTCACGTGCCATCGCGCGGATTTCGACATTATCAACAACAACAACAATATGTTCATTGGAAAAAAAATAGACCAAAAGAGACCTCGAGAAATTAGTGGATGAAATCAATGCTGGACGTCCACAATGTCCGGTTGGCCTCAACACATTAGTTATTCCACGGAAGGTTACTCTCGGTGAACATGTAAACCAGCCCTATGTCTATTTAAATTGTGGCCATGTCCAAGGTTAGTATATGTATGTATGTGATGTGTTTAAGTCTCTCTTCGGCGAGAAAGCGAGGGAGTCATTTTCTTTTCATCATCAACCCCACTATGGAATTTCACACGAATCAACCTCACCTTGCGCCCACCATCACCCACACGTGTGCCCCAGGAAACATTCCTCGACAAAGAGTGCTCATTAATTTTTCACATCACCCCGAATGACAATGACTTTTCCCATATGATTGATATGTGTGAACTGATTTTTTTTTATCTGTTTCTCCTTCTTAACACGCTCAATCTGTGCGCGTGATTGTGTGCCAAATGCATCTGCACCACCTTAAAAAGGACACCACGATTGGGGTCAGGACAAGAGCACGGGAGCCAGACGATGTCCAATGTGTCTGGAGATGGGACCCGTTGTGACACTGTGTATGGGAATCGAACCTGCCTTCTATGTGGACTCTGGACCGCCAACTTATGCATTTAATCCGTGTGGTCACATGGCGACAGAGAAGACAGTCAAGTGAGTATTTCACTCTCTTTCACATCCTTTTATTTCAATTCCCCTGCCATCATTCGTGTGATTGTCATGAAACATTATTATTATTATTATTATGAGAAAAAATTGCAACACTTTCGGATTAAGCATTTGACTGTGAATATGAGTTAATTTTTGGTTTATTTTACAAATGGATTTCTTTTCATACTGCTTTGACCATGAAATCCATTCGGGGTGAAAATGAGTGTAAATTACAGACAATTTTGGCTGTATTAATGACAGACGATTGATGAATGATGGTTAGAAGAAGTACAACGCTGATGAGTGCTTGAAATACTGTAATTTAGACGTGACAACACCGTCTTTTTTGCGCTCTCTGAAGGTATTTGAGAAAAGATTAATCTCTCTCTCGCTCGTGTGCTATTGATTGTACTTTAAAATAGTCGAAAAGGGATGCGATAAATTAATGGGTAACGAGAGATTTGAGAGAGAATTCGTTTCCGATGCAGTTCCTAAAATGTATGTTGTGCTAAGTTAATTACTTCGGAAGCTGAAAATTTATTAAACTAAACCGGTGAAGCATTGAATTGCACTCTCAATTGTAATAATTCTATAGTGTGATTGAAGGCATGACAATAGATGTTTTAGATCTATTGTAGTGTAAATATTTTATGATCACATGTTTTGTGAGTTAATGAAATTTAAATCAGAGCATATTCCACGCATGCTACACATTTATGTATATTCATGATTTTACATGAATATTATAATGTGAGACAGCGTGCGAGACTTTGTGGTTCGGTTGATATGAAGGAAAATTGATTTAAAATTGTAACAACACCTTTTCCTTGTTTTGCTGTTGGGTGTCGAATGTCAAATTCAGGGGGGGGACTTGTGGAATAGGAATGATTAAAGGTGTTTTTTCTTCACAACTGTGTGCAAAAGAATTCTCTCCTCTTCTGTCATGTTGCGCAAGGACATGAAAAGAAGAGAGACGAGAGAAAATATGAGTTTGTGTGATGTGTGTGTTGTGTAGGATGCAATTAATAATGTTTCACCCTTCCTTCTCCGCCTCAGTTTCATCAGCGCGCACGCACTAATCACACATTTTTGTTCTTCTCCTCCTCTGCAGATACTGGGCCAACGTGGATATTCCTCACGGCACAAATGGTTTCCAAGCTGTGTGCCCATTCTGTGCTACGCCTCTAGTCGGAACTCCGGGCTATATCAAATTAATTTTCCAAGATAATCTCGATTGAAGAAAATGAGTGTTGAACGATGACTATGTATGTATTTCTGTTTCTTCACTCGCTTCAAAAACACTGTTTTGCAGCGAAAAGGGAAGCGCGCGGGGCCTGAAGGGAATGCAAGAGAGAGAGAGAGAAAGAGGAAGAGCGAGAGAGGGAGAGAGAGAGAGAGAGTTACGTTAATTATTGTTAAACATTAGATGGAAAAACGCAGTGATGGCGAAATGATGATATTTTAGAGTGAAAAATTCATGTGCATTGATCAGAATGAGTAAAGAGAATAAAAAGAATAAAGGAGAAGTGAAAGAATTGAAAATTTTTATTTAAAAAACAATTCCCAGTAATTTTGTCTTTCAATTTGTCTGCCATATATAATTGATTTTTTTTTTACATTTTATATTAGCTTCTTTTGTGATACAATAATTCGCTTAATTTTAAATCAACGGAGAAGAGAAAAAATAAAATTGAATTTTTGCAGAAACAATGTTTTTTTTTTTAATTAGACAACGAGTCTGTTATTTAGTCAAAAATAATAATAATGAAAAAAGGCAAAAGAAATAATAGAGAACAAGAGGAGAATGACGGTGTGAAGAGAAAAAATATACATAAAAGTCTATTACCACAATTTGATGTTGCGCAAATGACGAAGAAAGAGGAGAAAACAAATCATGAAAAAAATAGAATAAACCTTGAAAAGTGTCACCAAATTTAATAAATAAATCGCAATTCAAATTTTTGAATTTAGTGAGACAAGAGAGAGAGAGAACAAATATGAAATATTTTAATGAAGAAGAAGAAAAAAAAATTAGCTAATTCCTCAATGAAAAAAAATAAAGAAAAGATGATCCAAAATGAGAATCACAGAATGTTGTACATAAATATTATGGAATATTATTTTAAACAGTGGTGTTTAAGGGGAGTGAGAATGTCGTCTCTGTTTAAGATGAAATATCACGGAAATAGATATAAAAAAAATGCTGTTTTAGTCTCTGTGTGGAGAATGCAAAGAGAATATCAATCACATTTTAGTATTTCCTGCACCTTTGTCAGAACCAAAACCAATTCACAGTGACTTCAATGTTGATTTTTGCGTTGAAACATTGCGCGCTGTATTCTTTCCGAGAAAAAGGCAAGAGAGAGGAGAAGAAGTGGGAAAAAGTTATCCTTCCGTCGCGTGGAAGGGAGGAGAAAGTATAGTAAAAGAACATGTCTAGAGAAAGATTTATTAACTATGATTATTCTAAAAGTGAGTGGAAGTTGACAGCCGGTGTGCGTGTAAACTAAAGAGATATGAATTAATTGATAATGTAATTTGTAGATTGTAAGACTGCTATTTGATTTAAGGATCGTTTTAAAATAAAGTGAGAAATTGTCTGAGAAAATGGAAGAACATTACAAAGAAATGCAAGTGACGCGGATGTGAGTGAGAGAGAGAGAGAGGACAAGAGTTTGCAAAGGACAACATATAATTTGATTTTAGGTGAAAAAAAAGAAGAAGAATAAACATGAGCGATGTATGAAAGAAGCGAATTCAAATGAAGTATTCATTGTGTTATTTACATAATGTAATAAATTAATTGAAATGACACTTTCCGAATGACTTTTCTAATTGAGAATCTCGTGAGGTTTTCTCGTCTACTGAGTTTCCAATTTCCAATTAGCTATCAGAACTCAAAAAAAAAATTCCTGCAAGATGTTCAGAATGTGGTTTTCTAGAAAGCAAAATGTGATATTTATGCAAATGTGTTTTTGTGAACATTTTCCCATGACTTCTGTGCATTGGGAAAAAAGTCACTCGTCGTCTTTCGATTGAATTAATTTTCAGTGTTGATTAATTTCTTAACTTACTGCTCTTCATTTTTATTGATTTTTCTGAGTCTTCTGTGATTTCTCCATCGAAAAAGGAATGTGAGAAAAAATTGAGAACTTTCGTTATATTGAAATTTTCAAAACTGTTTCCACGCCGACATCAGCGCCAGTGGCGATTCTCAAAGTAATTTGGATCGAGAGCCGCTCGTAGTTTTTCTCTCAAGAGTTTTCTGTGTTTTTTCTTTACACAAACGATCTTTACGTGTGGAAAATTGTTCAAATGGATAAACAAGATCACAATGAGCCAGTTGGGAGTGAGCTAAGTGGTGCCATTGGCGTGAATGAGAGCGTCTTACAGGAAGAATCAAGTATGTCGTTCCGAACGTCACACGCCATATAAAAAACTATCATTGAGCATTTTCCCTTTCTTTTATCTGTGCATTTTTCCAGCCATTCGACCGCAGACGGAGCTTCTTGCTGTGGAAGTTTCCACTGTGAACCACTGGAAAATATTAATATATGAGATGATAGCGGAAGAAGTGCAAGCTTTTGAGAGAGATCTCAAGAATTTTCAACTCTCTCAGAACATCGACACGCAGATCGAATCTCAAGAGATTTCTGGAAGCTGTTCAGAACAATTGCAAGCGTTGAAGGACTGGAGTGTCCAGGAAATGAGAGGCATTGAATCCCTTGCTGAGAGTGTGACGAATCTCACTCTGTCTCTCAGCGAGGCATTTGATCTCATCCTGCGGGCGAAGCGCGATCGCAACGCTGCGGAACGCTTAGGCATTGACCGTGTCAAGGAGGAAATGAAGTGTAAGGTTCGGGATATGTTGACCAGAAACTTGCAAGACTTGGAAGACTTCGAATTAGCAGTTGATACAAGATGGAAATGGCAGAAAATCGAGCAAGAAATGAAGAAAGACGGAACAAAGCTCGAAAATGTGAATTTGGACAATTCGTCCATTGAAAACATGTACAAGAGAATCAATATTATGCGTCCGATTATAATGAACCAGAGGAAGAAGATCAACGAACTCAAGAAGATACTGAAAGTGAGAGTGACCCGAAATTCCTCTGTTCAGGAGCTTGATTTGTGGCCAGATTTCGATGCTTTGTTGTTAACAGAACCATTCGAATATGAAACGAGACAATTGAGTGCTTCAAAAATGAACAAACTCTATACAATTCTCAAGGATCGTCCAATCCGACTTATCCATCCTGCGCGTCCCGACAGAAAGGACATGAGTGACATGTTGGTCCGAAAGGACAGGGAAATTGAAGCGAAGGCAAAGAATTTGCAGGCGAAAGCGCACAAAAGCGACAGGAAGATTTTCTGTTTTGGCCCTAAAATCACTGAAACTCCAGTCTCTTCCCAGGCTTTCAGCTTTTCCTTTGGCTCAATTGAGCCTTGTATGTTTAATTTCGGATCTTCAACGAAGTTCACAACGGCAACTGTTGGAGCAACAACAACTACAACTAGCGTTTCTTCGCTTCCGCAGCATTTCAGCAGCTTTGCAAAGTTCGCAACAACTTCTGCGGGTTCCAGTTCTACAGCTACTTGGTCTAGTAAGAATCCTTCAACGTCTGGAACTCGGATTTCTGGTGCATCAAACGATGGATATGTGTTTAATGATCTAGAAAAGAAACCAAGAGTTGCGGACGTCGTCAAGAAGAAGAAATCAAAGGCAAAATCTTCAACACAACGAGAGAATTTCGCAACAGATGCTCGGATTTAATCCCTATGTCAATACAGGAAGATGTGTAAGTATAGAGATTGGAATTTTGATGGAAAATTGAACTTTGGAGTCTTGTTTTTCACCTTTTTCATCATCACTTGTTACAATTAACTTCTGAATTTATTCATTTGACAGCCAAAGGAATCAGTTTATGAACTTTGTTTATCAATAAACCATGAAAATCCCAGTAAGATATTCATTAAACTATCGGGTTTCCATGCGGACGAGCCTCTTTGCTTGATAGGAAAGCCTCTTGGCTTGACCCCCAAACTTTGGACCTCGTGACTTTGCATGAATCGAAAACTTTTTGGGGAAATCCACAAAACACACGCACATTGTTAGAATTTTCTGAATTGCTTTATATTTTCATTGACTTTTTTTCTTTGTCCAGTTAGATAAGAAAATCAAATCTTGAACACTCGTCAATCACCACGCTTAAGACTTTGTTATTACAAATAGCCCAATCGCTCCGCCTCGTCCATCATGCCAATCAGCGACTGCACAGTTTCCACGGAGTTGGGAATGATCTGGTCTGGTGGCAGGAGGAAGCCGTGAGTGCCAGTGTCGCGGAACTCATAAGTGTAGCTGAGCGTGATGCCAGCGCCGCCGTAACTCCAGTCTGCGCTGGTTCCGGTGGCGATGTACAGGCTGTTCATGCTGTGCACGGCGTATTCGGTGCCGAAGCTGCCGCGCAGGCGATCAGCAGCCACGCGGGCGATCTGATGGAGGTGATCAGCGTTCTGGGAGGGCGTGGAAGTGTAGGCGTACGGGTAGAGAAGAAGCTGACTGAAGGAGTGGAAGGACCTGAGAAGAAAGAAGTGCTTGGATTAGCCAAGAGAGTGGTGGGAATTGCGACGTTTCAGCATCTTACAGATAGACTTTGATGTGATCTCTGCGCTGGAGGACGAAGTTGGCGAGTTGTCCGGTTTCCAGCTCAGAGAATGCCGCTGGACCGGCGAAGATCTCAGAGCAGACATTGCTACTGGCTCCAGGTCCGCTTCCATCTGCAATGCAAGTGTGTGTGTTAAGACAGGAGTCTTGGGAAATTAGGGGGCTTTCTTGCCTTGCCACTGGTAGCCGAAGTTTCTGTTCGGATCAGCTCCAACGCAAATGACTCCGTGGCGAGAGCGAGTCTTCCTCCACATGCGATTGGTGTTGTGCGAGTGACGGTAGCCATCGGGATTGGTGACGGGGAAGATGTACCAATCGTAGTCATTGGCCAGACGACGGATCTCCGGATCGGTGGAGGTCAGGAGCTCGTTGAGGACGAAGGTGGTCGTGGCAGCGGAAATCCATTCTCTGGCGTGAATGTTGCCTTCGATGAAGACAGCTGGATTTCCTGCCTAAAGTGTGTGTGTTTAGTGGGCTAGAATTGTGGCTAAGATCGAGGATGTCTTACGCGATGGGAGACCAAAACACCCCTGATTGGTTCCATTTCGTAGCTGTTTCCATAGCTGAGCGGCGTGAGAACATTGGGATATTGGGCAATCAATTGATCCATCCAGGCGTTGATCTCATCCATGGTCTGATATCTGGTCCAGTCGAAGTCACTCGTGGGTGTGATTTCGGGCTGTTGTTTGTCCACAAGTCTACCAAAGTGAAAGTTTGTGTCAGTCAGAAGAAAATCTCCTCAATTTCAGTCCCTATTTACTCTTGAACATTGGTGATCTTCAGGGATGTTTGGAACTGGAGGGATTCCATGATCTCCTCGAATTCGGAGAACTTATGCGGCGGCACCATGACCTCAACGGGACGACCGATGTAGGAGGGATTCTTCCAGAAGTCATAGCTGGAGAAAGCGGCCTTCTCCATCTCGTACAACACTTGCAATTGCTCATCATTGTCCACCTGCACTGTGTACACTCTGTAGTTGTCGAAGCGAGCCTTCTCGGCGCTCGAGAAGGCCGCCAGCAGCACGATCGCCAACACTAGAAGATTCCTCATTCTGACCACTGGGATAAACTGGAGCCGCTCACTTCCCAATGCTGCTCTTTTATACTCGCGTCTAGGCCTATCACGCGAGGGTTTATCTTAATACTCCCAAAGTGTGATTGATTCCGTAATTAACAGGGCGTTTCACTCGAAATCTTGCAGATTTTGGTAGTTTTCCATTGTCATCAGAGCACAAGTGCTGGTAGATTGTTCTAATCTTATCATTGTCAAGAACATTGATTGCAATTGTGAAAATGACGAAAATTCGCAAAGAATTGCACGCGCAAGGTGTGCTCTCAAGTCCAGCCTTCGAAAACATCTCGCCTTTTATCTTTGTGACGTGAAGAACTGGTGGAAAGCCCGCGTTTATCTCACTCTGGCCAAATCCTTCTAATGCCAATCGATCAATTCTCCCCAATGATTAGATAGGAAATCAATTCTTGGCACTCTTCAATCATCTTTATTATCCCTGTTATGACAAATAGCCCAATCTCTCGCTCTCATCACACAGAGCAATCATCGACTGCAGAACCTCAATGGAGTTGGGCAGAATCTGGTCTGCCGGCAGGATGAAGCCGTAGGTTCCGTTGTCGCGGAACTCATAAGTGTAGCTCAGTGGGATTCCGGCCTCGGCGTAGGCCCAGTCAATGCTGGTGCCGGTGGAGATGTAGAGATCGAAGAAGCTCTGCACGGTGTATTCTGTGTTGTAGCTCTCCTTCAGTCGATCCGCCGTCACAGTTCCGATGTGGTGGAGATCGTCGTAATGATCTGCGGGATCTGAGGTGTAGGACCAAGGGTAGAGAAGCAGGTGGCTGTACGAGTGGTAGGATAGGTACATTTTGATGTGATCTCTACGCTGGAGAACGAAATCGGCCAGTAATCTGGTTTCAGGCTCTGAAAATGCTGCTGGACCGGCATAAGTTCCTGAGCAAACATCGTTGCTCGCGCCAGGACTCGATCCATCTGCAATGATGCATCGGGTGAAAGGGAATAAGTCACTATCCAGCAATTCTCTACGACAATTTACCTTGCCATGCGTGAGCCCAGTTCCTGTTCGGATCCACTCCCAGGCAAATCACGCCGTGACGAGCGCGAGTCTTCCGCCACATGCGATTAGTCCTGTGGGAGTAAGCGAAGCCGTCGGGATTCACATTGGGGAAGATGTACCAATCGTAGTTCTCGGCAATGCGACGGATGTCAGGATCGGTGGAGGTCAGGAACTCGTTGAGAACATAAGTCGCCGTGGCTGAAGTGATCCATTCTCGGGCGTGAGTGTTGGATTCGATGAAGATGGCTGGATTGCCAGGATTGTAAGACAGCAAAACACCCCTGATCGGGCGTCCTTCGAGACTACTTCCAGCACTCACGGGAGTCAGGACGCCAGCGTAGTCTATCAAGAGCTGATCCAGCCATGCGTTGATCTCCTCCAGCGTGTGATATTTGTCCCATGTGAAGTCATCGTTGCGAGGCGAAATTTTGGGCTGTTCATTGTCAATGAGTCTGAAGAAACAATTCCCATTAATCACGGAAATCGGTGAAATTTAATGTACATTTTACTCCTGAACATTGAAGATTTTCACGGATGTTGAGAACTGAAGGGATTGCATAATTTCCTCAAACTCTGATAATTTGTGCGGCGGAACCATAATATCAACGGAATTGCCGACTTTCGAGGGATTCTTCCAAAAGTCATAGCTCGAGAATGCCGTCTTTTCCATCTCAAATAACACCTCTAGTTGATTCTCATTCTCCACTTGTACCGTGAAGACTTTGTAGTTGTCGAAGCGAGCCTTTTCGGCGCTTGAAAAGACTGCAAAGCACGCTAATAAAAATACTATCAGAAACTTTCCCATCTTGAGCACGAACTGAAACTGTTCATCGCCGAGTTGCTCTCTTTTATACGTGCGATAAAATTAGGGCTTATCTTAATAGAGCGATAATGTGGTGAAAATTGAGGTGTTTGCTGGGTGTTTGACTCTATTTTCCAAGGATATTTTGCTGGGTGGCAAAAATTGGTCTCCCCCCGATGTCAGACGCTGATTGAAATTCGCTCTCGGCGCGATGTTTGCGAGAGATCGCTCATGATCTCCAAATTGACTGTTAAATCAAAAATCTCTTTCATATCTTCAGTGCAGTTTTGTGCGATGGCGTTCGCGTCGCTTTGGGGAAAATTGCGAGCGCCACAGCTCAGATGCCGTCATTGAATCATTGAATGATTCAGTGGCCATCAGTCAGTCGAATAGTGAAGATGTATCTCAAGAGGAATCTCCTTTTCCTGGTTTTTCTCACCAGTGTCACTCTCAATTGTGTATTCTGTGGTGAAACGGAGGATGTGGCTGTGAAGAATGATAAGTTGGATGGCGCGAGTGCTGAATTGGCGGATGAGGTAAAGCGAAGAAAGAAGTCTTTGTTCTCACCAAAACATATTCCTTGGTTCGACAACAAAAATGGCATCACACTTGGCAATTTTGTGCATATAGCGCTGTTAATTGACTTTCCCGGAAGATTAGTCACTCCAGTTTCACCTCGACTGGAGCGTGAAGTGATTCAGGGAAGCCTCTAAGTGGTGTAAATCCAATGAGAAGCACTTTCATGAGCTCAATTGTGCTAATGGAGATTTTTGCGTCTCAAGTTCGCGATAGCAAAAGTGCTTCGCCAACAAGCAATATCGCACTCTTGACATTTCAGGTTAAAAGATCAAGCAAATAATCGAATTAATCATATAAATTGGGTTTTGAGTTGTGCCCAGTGAGATTTCTACGCAATCTCAGTTGGCATGCTTCGCGAGCTTCGCGAGGAAGACGCCAATTGTAATGCTTAAAAAATGTTCAATAATAACCTTTGTAGAGAGACTCCGTCCAAACTGGCGCTCTGGAGCTCGAACATGAGGTCATAAATGACGAACAGGCGGTAAGTTTTCCTGCCATCAGTCAGAAAATCAGAAAATCTCATGGGGAATCGGAGGAGAGGCTTTTCCTGTCAAATTGGTCATGGCTTCCTTTGCAGCTCTTTCGCACACAAAAAAGAAAGAAAAAAAACTTTTCCATTTGCATGGCTTCAATCAACAGATGTTCGAACACGCGGCACAAATTTGAGATCATCACACACACACAATTTCTCAAAGAGTGCCTTGGAAAGGTCGTTAGAATCAATGAAAGGCACAATAAACATCACATCGAAGCACACTGAGATAGTTTTCAGCACTTCTAAATGAAATTAACCATGAAATTTTATTAGTTGATCCACCAAATCATCTCATTTTTTGATAGAAATGTCACGAAAAGGTCATGATTTTGTTAAAAAATCACGAGAAATATTCTCCTGCTCTATTTGTTGAGATTGCTGAAGAAAACAATCCAGTTTTTCTACATTTCTCAGATAAGTTGATTGGTTTTTTGCTTTGTTGTATTCTTATGAGAAATATTTGTGCTTGAAATTTGTTCAAGTGTGTGACTTTTGGGTGCAAATATTTCACTTAGCATTTTGCTGACACTTTGTTATTTGCAGAGTGGGGAAAAAAGAACAGTTTTATTGTGTATGAAATCAGAATTATTTGCTCTGGAGTAAATGAAAATATTCGACATTTGATGTGTGTGGAATAAAAAAAGCTGTTGTGCTTTTTATAGTTCAACACAAATGATTGAATGGAAAGGTGATGAGAATTGACAAGAATTACTCATTTTCTGCTAATTAATTGTCTTTAGAGGACATGAAAGAATCTCATTTGATCATTTTCCTCCAATTCTAAGCATGATGAGAGTCACAAAGGCGGATTAATCACTAACACACTGACTTGAGGTGTTGAATTAGCACCAATTTAGGGAAACACAGCATCTGGCAAATTGGCAATCCAGGCTAAGCACTTCCATGTCACGAACGACACACACACGACACTTGGGAAGCACATCACCATCGCACACAGATCACGAGGCGTGAATGAGAGAGAGAGAAAGGGAGCGAATGAAACGACACGAGCCAATGCCTCTTGGTTTTCTTCCCCAACAGGATCAGCCCACGTCCGGCGAGCGCTTCGTGGCCATTCACGTGGACACGATGGGCGCACGCGAGGAGTTGAGTCCCACGCTGCTGGGCATCACGCATCTGGCGCTCACGTTCCTCCCGGCGGAGTATCAGCTCTTGACTGTGATCTCGGCCGCACGCGAGGTCGTGGCCGGCGTGCGATTCATCCTGGTGGTGAACGCGGAGCATGTGGCGACTGGCGAGCGGGTGGTGTGCTCCATGGAGGTGTTCGAGAAGCCCTGGATCACGACTGAGTGGGGCGACAAGTGGCGGATGCTCGAGGGGACAAATTGCACGGGCAGTCCGAATCCCGCGGCGCCTGATTGGAGTCAGTACAACAGGGTGAATCCCATCTTCACGGACAGACCAAAGACAGTGTCCGAAGAGAGGCTGAAGGAGGTGGAGAAGCAAGTTGTGACAACGACACCCAGAGATTACTATGTGATCCATGACACGACGACAGAATTGCCCGTGGCGCAACTGTCGGACGAAATGAAGGCTCTCTTGGACGCGTACTTCCTGGCCGCCAAGTCGCCGGGAGAGATTGTGAGGGAGAATGTGGCGCCCGTGGATGGTGGCGTGCGGCCAGAGGTGGAGGAGGAGACAATTGTACCAAAGACTGCATATCCTCAAGGGGATCCTCAAGCAGAGACTGAAGAACCGCTAATCACATCGACACAGGCCAGTGAAATCACTCCATCGCCTCCGCCAACCAATGCATATCTTCCACCAGAGTCTACAGTCACTCCGGAGCTTTCGGAGGAGGATTTGGGACAGCAACAGATGATCATTGATCCCTTCTTTACAATTGACCCAGACCAAATCCCTCCGAATGGGAATATTCAGGTGCTTGAGCGGCAGAAGCGAGAATTGAGTGTCACGGAGACACACAAAGTCCAATTAGAATCAGCAATAAAAGAGGCGAAAAACAGGGAAAAATGCAAAAGAATTTTGGCTAACAATCAATGCGATGAGAGTGAGGAAAATGTGCGAGAATGCGTGGAAAATGTTCTTCCGGACACGGCAAAGTTGTGTCCGACTGAGGTAAATGTCCGGATGATCACATTGGTGGCTTTGGGTTCCATCTTTTTCACTCTATAATGCCATGAATATCTCGGTACTAATGCACAAAATTGCCATTCCATTGCAGCTTATTCCATGCTGAAGCTTTTATTATTCCAATCTGTGAAATCATATTGACAAATTGTGCTCTAATGCAGAGATATTTTTACATTCCAGCCGGTTCTTTGCAACCCCAAGTCGCTAAAGCTGAAGCAGACTCTGTGCAAGCCACTTTCGGAGAAGAAAGGCAGAGAGAAACGCGCTGGAATACCAACTCTTGGCGGAGTGAGTGAAATTGATCTGTCGGATGAATCTCATCCCATTCACGAGGTCGTGAAGGAGAGTCTCGTGAGTCTCGGACAGACGGAAAATGGTGATGCTTATAGGTGAGAAATAATCTTGTGTTAGTTGGTTTTCATTGACGCTTTTGATGCTTTATTTAATTTGGAAAAATTTCTGTGTGCTAATTTATAGTTTTCAGAATGCATTAAGAAACATTTTTCAAGGTTGATTGAATTATACTTGAAGATTTATCTCAAATTGTTGAATTTAACATATTCTAATGGTCACAAAAATGTTTCCTGTCATTGAAATTGAGAATATTATGACAATTTCCAGTGAATTCAATATTCTGAAACACTCTAAAGCCAAAATTTATTCTCTGTATTTCAGCTTTGTCCGGATCAACAGTGCCACAAGTCAAACAGTTGCAGGAACTCTTTACAAAGCGAATCTGGATGTAAAGGATTCCGACTCGAAGGATGTGAAATGCGATCTGGAAGTTTGGGAGCGATTGTGGCTCAATCCCAGTCGTGAAGTGAAATTCAATTGCGACAATACCAAACATTATCACTTCAGACAGCGAAGATCTCTCGACAATGTGCAGCCTTTGTATATAAAAGGAGCTCCAGTTCCTATTCCTGACTTTGAAAATGACGAGAAAGTGCAGAATCTCGTGAGGAATTCTTTGGTGTCCTTCAATGGCGAGGAAGGAAATGCTTACAAGTGAGATTACAGAGATTTATGAGGAGAGAAAAGAGCCTTTAAAATTGTTTCTTTCAGGCTTCATCGCATTGTTAGTGCCACGAGGAAGACTGTGGCTGGAACTCTGTATGAGATCGATGTGGAGTTCAAGAGGGAGAATCCCGAGGAGGTGCTGAAGTGCAAACTGGCTGTTTGGGAGAGATTGTGGCTGAAGGAGAACAACAGTCAAACGGATGTTTCTTGTGATGAGAACAAGAAGAAGTACACTTTCCGCTCCAAACGCTCACTGATCTACGATCATCGTCGTCGTGATGCGGATTATGAGGCGGAGGAGGAGCGATTGAGGCACCAAAAAGAGACTCTGGCTCATCATGAGGAACTCTTTCACAAGTTCCAGCTGAAGTTTAGTCGTGCTTATCACTCGTCGATGGAGAAATCTCTGCGCTTCCGCATCTTCCAGGACAATTTGGTGAAGATTCAGCAGCTGAATGAGCGCGAGATGGGAACTGCCAAGTATGGAGTGACGGAATTTGCTGATCTCACGCCAACTGAGTATCGCATGAGGACGGGTCTGTGGAGGAGGAGTTTGGATGAGAATCACATTCCCAATCCCATTGCGGAGATTCCAAACATTAAGTTGCCGAAGAGCTTCGATTGGCGTGATAAGAATGTCGTGAGTGAAGTGAAGAATCAGGGCAATTGTGGCTCTTGCTGGGCTTTCTCCGTCACGGGCAACATTGAGGGTCTGCATGCCATCAAGACGGGCGTTCTGGAGGAGTATTCTGAGCAGGAGCTGCTGGATTGCGACACTGTGGACGGAGCGTGTGCCGGTGGATTGCCTGACAATGCGTACAAGTGAGTATTTGTGATGATGATGCGAACACTGTTGATGAGCCAATTGACTGACGGCATTCTCCGCTTTCAGGGCCATCGAGCAGCTGGGCGGCTTGGAGCTGGAATCTGAGTATCCGTACCGCGCTCGCAAGGGTGAGTGTGTGTTCAACAAGACCATGAGCCATGTGCAAGTGAGCGGAGCAGTGGATCTGCCCAAGAACGAGACGGCCATGCAACTGTGGCTGCTGCAGAACGGACCCATTTCCATTGGCATCAACGCCAACGCCATGCAATTCTACCGCGGCGGCGTTTCCCATCCGTGGCGGCCGCTCTGTCGCCACGGCAGCATCGATCACGGGGTGCTGATCGTGGGCTACGGCGTGGCTGAGTATCCGCTCTTCAACAAGACTCTGCCCTACTGGATCGTGAAGAACTCCTGGGGTCCCAAGTGGGGCGAGCAGGGCTACTATCGTGTCTTCCGCGGCGACAACACCTGCGGAATCAACTCGATGGCCAGCTCAGCAGTGCTGGCGTAGAGCCGTAGTTGCGAAAGTCTCCAGTAGTAGAACTAGAGATTTAACTGAAAGATATACTAAAAAAAAATACTTGTCTCTCTCGTATTTTGTGAAATTATCCATGGAAATTTTTATAACAGACTTCATTTTTTTGAATAAACAGTATAATGATAAATTACAAACTGTTGAGCAGAATTCTTTCATGAGATTCTTGACACAGTTTTGCGGGGAAAGTAATCTTCCGGAAAGCGATAAAGGAAGTAGGAAAATGATTTTATTCCATATTTTTTCAGTGTCATAAAAGAATCGGTATGAAAATGTACAAAATTGCCAATTCATCTCATCATTTTACAAGTCATTTTATTTAGCCTAAAATTAATTTGCTGTGATTTATTAAGCAATTCTACAAAAGATTCTTCTCTTATCTTCCAGCCAAAACCACAGCTTCTCGGAGGACCGAGGGAAATTGATCTGTCGGATAAATCTCATCCCATCTACGATATCGTGAAGGAGAGTCTCGTGAGTCTTGGAAAGACGGAAAATGGTGATACTTACAGGTGAGAAGAAAACTCAAATGCAACAAACATAAGCGATAAAGAAGCTAAAATACATTTTTTCCTGTGTAGCTTTGTTCGCATCAACAGTGCCACAAGTCAAGTAGTTGCAGGAATTGCGTACAAAGCGAATCTGGATGTGAAGGATTCCGACTCGAAGGACGTGAAGTGTGATCTGGATGTCTGGGAGCGATCTTGGTTGACTCCCAGCCGGGAAGTGAAGTTCAACTGCGACAATACCAAGCGTTACACCTTCAGACAGAGAAGATCCGTTGACGCTGAACCGCCTAAATTCATTCCAGGCGGTCCAATTCCCATTGACGATTTTGAGAACGACGAGAAAGTGCAGAACATTGTGAAGACTTCTTTGGTGTCCTTCAATGGCGAGGAGGGAAATGCTTACAAGTGAGAACAAGGATGATTTCCCTCTTTATATTCCAGGATTAATATTATTATCTCCACTCAGACTTCATCGAGTGCTTGGCGCTACGAAGAAAGTGGTCTCAGGAGTTCTCTATGAGATCAACGTGGAGTTCAAGCGAGAGGACCCTGATAAGGTGCTCAAATGCAAATTGGCTGTTTGGGAGAGATCCTGGCTGAAGGAAAACGGGACTCAGACAGATGTTACTTGCGATGAGGACAAAAAGAAGTACACTTTCTTCGCCTAAATCTCGTAATTGTGGCTGTACTTATAATGACAACGACAAGAAACTGAAGTTGTAAAATTGATGATGAAACATTGCTGTGTCGTAGAATATAGGAATGCATAAAAAATTCAAGGAAAATCTCTTTTATTAATCACTAAGGATCTTTAACGGAAAAATTGAATTGACCTTAATCTCGGTATGTGGCGCTGGTGTCGGCAAGTGGCAGGCAAGCGTGACATTTAATAATTTTTGTAAACAAATTTAGACAGCTCAGTCAAAGTCTTTTTGGCCCTGCATTTTAGTGTTTAAGTACGATAAATATTGTAAAATAGTGTAGTAATATATTGTGTTAGAGAAGAAACTTAAAGCTGAAGCACGTTGAACTGTAATTCTATCAAAAACCTTATAGATTTACACAGAAAACTGCTAAAAGTGTTCATACAAATACTGCGTTAAGGTGAGAAGGATATTTAGTTTTCCTTACGTGCACAAGCAGCCCATTTTGTCAGGAAGACAAATTTTGTGAGCTTGGTGCAGCAAATACATAAAGAAAAGTGCTAAATCAGCGAAATGAGTAGAAATTTTTGGGAAGACAACTTTCTGAAATTTGTCACACGTGGCGCTGTGATCGGTGTGCTGATCGCAATTTGTTTTCGATTTTGCTGCTTTTGTTTAGAAAATCCTAATTTTGACCATTATTAATGCTGTTTTTACAAAAAGTTGCAAGAAAAGTGACAATACTGCTTGTGTAGTGAATAATTTTAAAACTTATTGTCATTATTTAATATTTTCGTCTTTTACAGACTCATTTTACATCACAAGAGAAATGTGGGATCCTAGACGGTTCGACGACATCGAGGACTTCACAGTGGTTGATGCCGATGCCCAGGAGACTATTCTTGGGGACTTCGAGGTGGTGCCGCATGAAAAAACGGGTCCCAATTGCTTTATGATGCAGCAATTGCGCAAGCAGTACGAAGATGAATTAAGAAGTCTGCTCGATTCCGGGAACTTCAATTGTCCAGGCAAGAGCACCGACAATCCGGAGGCCGCATCGATTGCCCTTATCGAGAAGGAGATCAGGAAGAACCTCGCCATGTTCCCTAACGGTCTCAGCTTCAGCAGCAAGTTGCGATTGGCCAAACCGAACGTGTTGGAGGACGTTGACGTGATGGTGAACCAAAGAATCCCTATATTCTTTAACAAGAACTATTTTAAATTACGGCCGAAGGACACTGATGAACCGGGGACAAGCAATGGTGTAAAACAAGAGCCACCACAACGGACACATGGGAAAAATGAGTTATATCTTCAGTTTAGTGATAGTAATAATATAAATTATTCATTCCCTTTACCTCCCAAATCCCGTTAGGATTAACACTACCAATTGCCAATCTGACTTTAAAAGAGTATGAAAATATATTTTAATAATTTAATAGAAAATTCTAGTTTTTCTCTGCGATTTTCCGCGTGGAATGAAATAATTTCCTTCCAGTTCAAATTCAGCGCCAATCATTTGCCAGTGATGAGAACTGGCATGCATGTCGTCAATCGCCAAGTGTCATCGGATTTCGATATCGCCATTTTCCTTTTATCGCCACTGTGTCGATCCGAGTGAAAATCTGTGAAAACTCGCGACAAATTCGTCAAAATTCACATATTTTCCTGTGAAAAGTACTTTGAGTGTGTCTCCAAAGGATAGAGTGCTCGCAGAGGGAGAACTATTGCTAATTTGTGTGGAAATCCGTGTGGCTGCATTGCAGAGACAACGAAAAAATCGAAGCAAAGTGAAGGTATGTTATTTTTTCTACGTCTCTCTATTTTGTCTGTTCCTTTTGCCGTGAAAATTGCACTCGGTGGCTTTCCTCGTCACCGTCAAGATTCACCTATATTGATATTTTGGACAGTGAAGGTTGGTGGCCAAATTTAGAAAGTGCTCCACACGCCAGAAAGTCGCACTTTCCACTGTCTTTCGGGTAGAAAATCGCCTTGATGGGCATATGAGTGGCCTTTGCGGCTTCTGGGGTGGCTTCTGAGTGGTTTGTAGGCGGCTAATGTGGCCAGGGATGAGCTGGTGGCATGGAAAGTGGGTAAATAAACCTCCGAGTTGAGCCCTTCAGTGATTTTTCCTTGAACGACAAAAAGCAGATCAAGAGTGAGGTTAGGTTTCTCCCGAAACGCAATTCTGCGTTTTTCTCAGTCGGAATTAACATTTCACAAGCAAAATACGAGAGGATTTTTCACACTGTTTCCACTTGCACTGGGTGAAGGCAGTCAGAAAAAAAGAAAATAGTGAATGCATTGTTGGAAAATGAGGTGACAAGATCGTGAATCTTCGTGCGACTTTGTCACGAAATGTTCAATGAATTTTCCTCACATCGCCCTCGATTCACCTCAATTTTCCACCAATGGCCTGCATGAATAAATTTGCAATTAAATTGTCTCAGTCGAATTGTCATGTTTCTTACGCGCTGGCGAAGTCCGGATTGCCATCAAAGATCAATAGAGCGAATGTCTCGTGGGTGAACTTTTGGCGAGGGAGAAAAAACAATAGAAAAATGTCAAGGTCACTGAATGGTCACGCTAAAGTTCACGAATCTCGCGCGTTCAAGTGTTCACAATCACACAGTCCCAATTCTATAGAATTCTCGTTGTCTCTTTTTATATTCAAGAAATTTATCGTCTTGTTGATACCATAATTATCGCAGAAATTAATTGGGTGTCTCATGAGAATGTTGTCTGTCTAGTTAAATTATACTTTAATCACCGCGCGTTGCTCAAAAGAATGGATGAGCAATGAGATTTCCAGTGTGTGCACGGTAAAAAAGCGAGATGCGGAAGCGCGCAAAAAAGCTCCAAAGCTGACCAATTGCGAGAGTGACATTTGGAGAAGAGCAAAAATTTATAAATAAATAATCACACGGGGTTAATATTGATATGAGGTCAAATATACAATGTTTTGTCAGAATGAACGGACAGCGCGAGGCAGATGATTTTTGAGCCGGATTGACGCTTTTTTCTGGGTTAATTTATCACACCATTCGCGGAGAAGAGCCACTCATAAAGTTGGCAATATATTCTCATTTAAGAAGCCCCCCCTGAAATGATGGCTCACTTCGTCACAGATATCACGGAGAGGCACCTTGAGTGCCCAGAAAGGCCAAGAAAAAGAGAGAACAGAGCAGGTGGCACACAAGGAAGCAATTGATTTCTCAAATGTGATTTTATAGTTAAGCATTCAAATGCGAGACCACATCGGAAAATTGCCAGAAACTCCTCCAAACTGGAATTTAAATTTTGCACATTCACAAATTGTTGGTTAATAAAAATTAATTAAAATATAAATGCTATCTTGGATGCTTCACAAAATGCCTTTATTAGCATTTTAGTAGAAAATTAAACACATTTGTTAGTTTTCGTTCTAATTGTTTTATTAATTGGACGTTGAGATGTTTTTTGGTATAGAAAATTTTTCATCAAATCATTAAGAAGAGTAAAACTCCTTATTTTCAGGTATTTGGGAAAGAAGAAGATTCATTGAAAATAGAAATTCATTACTTTATGCTTACTTAAACATTGAATCTGGCAAGATATTGAAAAGAAAATCTGGCAAAATGTCCCGAAAAGAAATTGCAAGCAAGTGCAAAAAGATCAGAGTAGAAATATATTCATCATATTTTTGCATTTCATATGTATAAAGTTCAGAGGTAATTGTGTCAGTGAAGAGCGCGTGAGGAGGAGAAGAAGAAGAAAAAAATAAGACACACATCTCCCTAGAGAACGAGAGAGATATTCCGCAATGCCACTGATGCGCGGTTACATTCAATCATCATTGAAGGAGTCTGGCATTAAAGAAAAATCAGGAGAAAGAGATTTTATGTAAAACTTCGGCTCTCAACAATCTGGGCCACAGACTTTTTTGCACTTCAATCTTGTCCTCCGTCTCTGTTACACCCATGCAATGCTGGGCTGCAGTGCTGGCTGATCTTGCTCATATTTTTTATCATTCTTATTTCATTAAAATAAAACTCCAGCGCAAATCAACAAAAATGAGAGCATTTCAGTTTCATTGAATTGAAAATGGTCACAGAAACGTGAATGAGAGTGATCTTTTTTCATGCTCTTTTGCCCATGGGCAGAGAAGTTTAGAGAGAGAACGAGAGGTTCAATAATAAATTGCACATTGTACACCCCCGCGCGAAATTACACGATCAAGCGGCACACATAATTGCACTTATGGGTGAAACACCAATTGATGATTAATCGTAGAATTATTGAGAAATTCCTTTTATGTTTATGCCTTCGTGGAATAAATCAATTGTAAATCTTTTTCATCTGGCAAAATGCTTGAAATGTTTCTTGAACTCAATTTCTCATAAATACACACAAGTCGAATATATATATGGGAAACTTAAATTATTCAAATGAGACAATAATAATACCTACATTACTATTGATATGCTCTTTTTGTGTGTGCGTGTGTGAATTTTTCGTGCCTGACGGGTGGAAAATGGGATCAAGAATGTTTGGTACAAAAATCCTCCAATGTCTATCAAAAATTTGGTGCATTCTCTTTAGTCATTCCTCACAGTTGTCAGACGGCACAATAAAATTAAAAGTTTTGTGTGAAAAATCGCTGAATCCGAAAGTGTCTTGTGTGAGAGAGTGTAGAAAAAAAGAGCCGTCATTTGGTGGTTGGCTGGAAAAATGTGAGGACACTTGAAGAACAACCTTCATCGGTCTCGTAAAAAGCCATACACTCACTTCTTTCTGTGCGGCGGTGAAGCTCTCTCTCTCTCAGTTGGTGGATTTTTCGTCTGCAAACTTAAAGCAGACACACATTGTAATCCAATTGATTTCAGCACACACAACATCTTTCGCAATATGTCTCTGTGTTCCATTATATCAATAATAACTATCTGGCAGCTCTTCTCTCACTCACTCTCATTTCTCTTCAGACACAATTTGGCCAATTTTATCGCACAAATAAACACAGCCAATGACCCAAAAAAAGAGGGAAGGTGAGAAAAGGAATCACATAATGATCTCATTTCATGCATTGCCCACTAAAATATCGAAATGTTGTACTTGGTGTGAATATTGCGTGAAAAAAGAGACACATGAAGAGAAAAGGGGGAGAGAGAAAATGTGCGCCTAATAACTGCTGTTGATCCTAAGTTCATTGATTCATTGTGGCAATTAATTAAAGGGTGTGGGACAATTTGCAATTGTCGTGATTCTACATTAATTATGTCGCGGGTGTCTCATTATAATGCCACCCAATGTTTACTTCCACCAGTAGCGTAGTAATTAAAGAGCAATAAATATATATTTTAATTACCACCGCAGTTTACAAAATTTCACTGATGATAGGATATGTTTGAGGTAATTTTCAGGACCACTGATAAGCCTTAAAAAGTTGAATATATTAATAAGATGGAGGCTTACATTGAATTCTAATGGCCTTTCCACACCACTGATATCTTCTCACGACAATAAACAGAGTATGTGTGAATAAGTATTTGCACGAGTGAAAATATTTCAATCACCCAAAATATGTGGTAAATACTTTGCACTCATTCGTAATGTCTTTTTCAATATTCACATTCATATTAAATCACCGAAATAGATTTATTTGCAATGTCTCATTGTCAAAATCATTTAGAAATATTTTGTGGTCTGCAGTCTGATGGATACTTCAAGGCAGAAGATTATGGGAAATAACTCTAAAGAGAAAATTAAAATTAGAAATATCAACAGCTTATTGATTTTTCTGGGAGAATGAAAATATGCTGAACTTATGCAAAATGCCGTTTGTTTGCACGATGAACTACATCGACGACATGTGTAAAATTATCAGTGACTTTTGAATAAACAAAACGCGAAATACTTTTTCAGGAAAAAAATGTGTGTTATCACTTTATTTAGTGTGTAGTCTTCACTGCAAATATCATGCTGAATAAACTTGTGGTTATTGCCATATGATAAGAATCAATGTTTTTTAGCTGAATTCGCAGACTAATTCAAAACGCGCATATTTAATTGGAAGCATGTCGCATTTTTGAGGCGCTTGGCAGATTGCATTGGCTTATGAACGCGGAGAGATAAAATGATTGAAAGTTAATGGTGCGGACGGAGGCTTTTTTCGCGTGTTGTGTCTCATCCCACCGAAATGTAATATGTCATGTCATGTGAAGATGGAAAGGAGTGTGCATACATATGTACACAAGCATTGGCTAAATAGTTGGGGGATCAGAGACGTACACGGTGTGTGAATATCCATAAATTTATAAATATAATGCAGCAGCGGCGCTCAATGTGACGACATCAGCATCGATGGGATGATGATGGTGATGAAGTTGATGGTGATGAAACTGTGTCACACACCATGTCTTTAAATAAAAATAA